AAAAGACCTATGATATATACATCACTGATAGTTGTTTAAAAAACATTTAATGTTAACATTGTAGAAGTTCAGGTAAAAATAATTTTAGAACAGTTTTATTAAACTTAGCTTAACTTATATCTTATAGTTCTTGTTTTTCAGAAGTATTCACCAAATCATAACTAGACGTATTTTAAGTACAGATACGAATTTTGAACAATATTTTTTTTAGTTTAGCAGCCACGTAAAAAAAAATGTAAATATTTGATGCTAGGTATGAAATACAGAAATTCTTCTTGGATAAAACTTGGCATCACGCGACATGCTGTATATTTACTAACTGAAGGAATTTTCTCTGTTTCAACGTAAATTTTACATCTTACACATTCACTTTTTGGATGCTTTTCTCCATATATTAGTTATAAATGAGATGATTGTATAATAAAATTAACACTTAACAGGTAGGCGAGCTGTCTTTTCAAAACAACTGGATATGTACAGTGTAGCATATATTAAACTACGCGTAAGTTTACTAGCAACTATGATGATGAACGCAGTCCTGATATATATCAGTAGAGGTCGTTGATTGACAGATCATGAAAATCATCATGGAATCTGAAGACATCCTCGTTAGCGCTTGTGCATACCCGCTTAACGTTCAAAAAGAAATTGTTTGGGTTCATATAATAATTCTGGGGCACCTTTTGCTATCCCTTTTCGTCCGTCGTTGTTTGTTAACATTTAGGGTTCATAAACCCTTTGCTTACTCATATAAAATGTTTCTTTAACTTTTATGATTTTCCAAAAGAAAAGTATATGCTATATAAAATATAAACAATTTTATCATGGCTTTCGGGGCTAAATTTGGCAAAAAAGGCACTTCAACTTGACGAATTTATAAAGGAATAATGGACATTTATGATTGATTGATTGTATACTGTTTAACGTCCCTCTCCAGAATATTTCACTGATATGGAGACGTCACCATTGCCGATGAAGGGCTGCAAATTCAGGCCTTTGCTCGGCACTTACGGCCTTTGAGCAGGAAGGGATCTTTATCGTGCCACACCTGCTGTGACACGGGGCCTCGGTTTATACGGTCTCATCCGAAGGACCGCCCCATTTAGTCGCCTTTTACGACAAGCAAGGGGGTACTGAGGACCTATTCTAACCCGGATCCCCACGGGGCTGGACATTCATGTCATTAAGAGTTAGAGTATCAATGTACCTTAAATATTTGCATCTTTTTCTCTGAAACAGCTGAACCAATTTCATCATCTATGGGTGAACGGGGAAAAAAATTGTGAATTTCATAGGCCCCCTCCCTCCAAGGGAGGGGGGATGCTGAGGGGTGGGACTTAATCCATCAAAATTAATGTTACCTTTCAAAATGTTCTTCTTTACTCCTTGACATCAAGCAGTCGAACTGTTGGCATGATAGTGATATGCATTGAGCCCTCTACCAAAAACATGAAATTCATGGCTCCAGGGTCAGGAGTTTTTAGTGCTAGGGCGAGGCTGTATAGATTACATATTGAAAGTGTATTATTTCTTTGAAAAACTTCTTCTGGATTGCTTGGTATTAAACAAACAAACTCAATGTAAACGATGTATAATAATAATGAGGAAGAAAATCTCTTCCAAACTTGTGAATTTCATGGCCCCAGGATCAGGGATTCTGCTTTTAGGGTAGAACTCTGATTATATAGTGAAAATGCATTAAATCTTTGAAAATAATCTTCTCATTTCCTGGGCATTAAACAAACTAACTACATAGTTATAATAAGTAATGATGCCTCTTCCGAGATTGTGAATTCCATGACCCCAGGTTCATGGGTGCTTAGTTAATTAAATATTTAAAATTTCAGTACAGGGGTGTGCAATTAGAAAAATCAATTACTAGCCCACGGGATAGTGACAGCTATAAAGTTACTAGCCCCAAGTGAAAAGTTACTAGCCCAAATATAGGTGCAAAAATTAAAATAAAAAAACTGTTTGTTGAAAAAAATTAATTGTTGAAAAAGTCAGGGTACTGAGGTCATTCTTTTTGAAATTAAACAGGTTGGGACCAATCGCCCAAATGGGATATAATAGTCCGTTTGGGATATAATATCCCAAATGGGCTATAAATTTACAGTGCAAAAATTAAAAAAATTTTATTTTGGCAATACATATCATAAATCTGCGTCAAAACACTTGAAAAGGAATAACTTTTGGTAAGCAAGTTTTTCTGCAACCCTACAGTTTATAAGATTGATCCCCAAGAAGTTACGGAACTTCCGAGGGATCAATCTCCTAAACAATGGGCATACAGGAAAACTTGTCAACCAAAAGTCATTCATTTTTAATTGTCCTGATGCGGATTTATGATATTTATTGCCAAAATAAAAATTTTCAATTTTTGCACTGTAAATTTATAGCCCATTTGGGATATTATATCAAAAAGTAGTAGCCCCGGGCGTCGGGCGATGCTAATTGCACACCCCTGCAGTATATTATTTTCTACTATAAAATGTTTTAATTTAATATCATACTATTTTGTAATTGCATTTTAATAAGAATGAGAATTTAGTCCTACTATGGTTGTAAATCCTTAAAGCTTTATAGAGACCTTCCGACATTATTTTTCGAAACATCAATACAAGTACATATAAGACAGACAAAAGAAGCATTGTAAAAAAGAAAATACTGGGTGTCAATGATTAAAGCGAAGAGAATGACAGCGTGAATATTCAACAAAAAATAACACTTGTTAGATATAAGATGAAAATTCATTTGCGATAGATGAATGCAATGTCTTAATCTTTTCATTTGGTCCTCTTATGCTTTGAGCTTGAATTCCTGAAAGGAACAATGTTTTTTAGTTTCAATTTAAACTTCCTGCATTTTTCATAGGCTTAAAACATTTCTTTTTGAAAGATTTTTTTTAACTATTATTAGTATTGATATGTCATAAAAAGCGGGGGTATTCTTATCTTGTTATCGTGTATACATTTTAGAAATATTTATTGTGGTCTGTAATTCATAGTATAATTTGCTTCTTCAGCAGGTGTCAATGTCTTCTCTCAATAAGTTAATGTGTAATTCTTTTTCTTTTAATATTCCAGCATGCTTCTTTCTCATGGCTGAATCCATTTCTTTTCTCCCACCTTTCCTGTGTCCGGTGAAAACGGTGTATATTAAAGGGTAACATTACTTTCTTGATTCCAAAATCGTATTTTTCCTGAATATTAGAACAGAAAGCCTTTCATAATAAAAGAGGAAAACCTCTCAGACCTCGGAACATTTTATTGTACATTTTGATTAAAATGTTATTCGTAAGACGTTGCTGCTATTTCATTACTGTTATAAACAACTCTGGCCATCACTTAATTTCATTTTTAAAATTTTAGGTCTTTATCGTTTTATTTTTATTTTTTGAATTAAGCTTCCGTCTGCTTCTTTAAGATCGTTTGAAAATTTCATTAAAGGTCAACATGTCCAAAAATTTATTTTAAATAGATATAAATTTTAAAACCTATATAAATATGACTTGTACAATTCAGTAGATGCTTACTACTCCAAGGCACTTGATCCCATCTCTGGAGTTGTCAGTGATCAGTAGATTTTCGATAGATTGTTGGAAGACTTGTTTTCCAAAATCTACATATAACATGCATTGCCTGTCAGAAACTCGGGCATCTTCATATCAATTTAAGGGTACCTGTGTGTGCAATAAGAATAATCTTAAAAAATATTTTTCATTTTTTTTTATAAAACAAGTTAGTAAATTAATTCACGATTTCTATTTGTATTGAAACAAGAATGATTATAGCCTCTTTATTTGTGTTACATAAAATTTTTATTAATTTTTTACTTGTTTTATACAGAAAATAATCATTTTAATCGTATATCAGAGTTTATGTCATTTTAATGCTGACTCACTATCTGCGATCTTTTTTTACTAACTGTTAGTCCATTATTTATATAGTGAATTGGTTTTTCACGAATTATTTTGATATACAACAGATTTATTAGTATTTTCTGATCATGACAACTTTTTGGAGCACAATTTGCACTGCTCCTATTTTTTTTGTTTTGTGACTTTTGTCGGCAGTTTCATTGGATGTTCACTCCTCCATGGCACCTGATCAAACCTCCGATGTTTCAGAGGTCTGTATTTGCACTGCTATTTTTTTTTATTGTTTTGTGGACTTCAGATCTTGAATACTGTTTCTCTTATCTCCATATGTTTCATTGAGAAAGCAATTTGGCTAAAATCTATTTTAATACAAAACAGAAGAGATTAAAAAACGATTAAGCCAAAAAAAGGGGGGTAGACGATACACATTGCATCACCGAATTTTGAAATAGTCTTCTCTCTTTTCTGTTTTAGGCAAATGTTATTTCAATTATAACAAATATCGGAAATTTCAAAATCAGTTTAATCTTTTTGTAAACTGATATATTGTGACAACAAAGTTACCTTTATAAAATTAATGATATAACAAAATTTTAGACTACTCTCTTTGTTTTCCCAACTAAGTTATGTTTTATGGAAAATCCATATAGATGTCTATAATAAAAATTAAAAATCATTTGAATATGTTAACTTTTGAAAATTGACTTGTCTCTCTATGAATTTGCTCGTCATAAAGTTCTTGTTGCATGTTAGTTAAAGTCCTCTTCGAATGTTCATGTAGATTTCAAGCTGACATAAGCATTTCTCTAGACCAAGAACTGAGGCTTGTTTTGGACAACAGTTTACAATCCAGAAATATTTGTGCTCAGTTTTATAGTATTGAAAGCATCTATAACAGGAAGGGACTGTCTAATTTTCTAGACTTTCCACGTTCTATCGTTGCATTGTCTTATTGTCCTCTTCATAGCTGACACTACTGCTGGAAAAAAATCTTTCTAATTTTTAATCTATTTTGCATTATTAAATTAACTGCAAAAGTCCTTTAAAACATTTTTGAGAATTGCATTTCCTGAAGTCTAGTACTGTACAACCAATATAATTAGTACATTCAGAATTAATCTCAAAGTGGATGATTTATTCATGCGGCGAAACATTAAAAGCTGAAATGAGGGCATTCGTCACAGTGATAAAGGACAAGAACACGAGACCAAGAAACTGTAACTGTTTTCTTTGGTAAGGGTCCTGGTGTTTAAGATAATCCGCCCGTAGCATAACTACTCTGGTCACTACTTGCAGGGTCATTGATACAATTATCAGACACACCAGTGGCCAGTAGAAATCATATTTGGGATGGAGTAGAGCTGTCCGAAGCTGGGCGGCGTTAGAGGTCAGAAGAGAGACGTCCATCATGCCTTGGGACACTGTCTTCATGGAAACTCTTGGTTTAGGACCTTCATTGGATGGATTAACAGCTGGGGTTCTACCCTAGATAAGTGTACAGTTATGTGAATTTTGACATCAGCGATTATACGTGGTATATTTGTTATGTAATGAAAACACTACATGGAATAAGATTTATACGCTCGTCCTATTCGACCTATACAATTTAAGGAAAAAAAAAATAAAACTTAAGAATATTTTTTTTCATAAAGAAGTATGTGGAACGTACTGCCCTTTTTATATTCTAACTTAATGGATTCTAATATAAAAGCAAATAGTGATGTGAACAGGTGGTTTCGTGACGGGAGGTAACTTGTCAAAGGTTCAAATTCAACGACTTTTTAAAAAGGTGTTTATCTAAAAACAAAAATTGGTTCAAAGCATTAAAGCCATTGAAAAGAAAGTTCTCTATTTTGTTTACTGAATAACTTTGCAAAATAGTCGGTCTTTTCTCTTTTTTCCGATGAAAAGTACGTTTGGTAGAGGAAAGTACAAAGGGGAAAATCAATAGGACTTTAAATCTTCATTTATGATTAAATGCCTCGATTGTCGTGGATTTTAAATTTAAATATAACTTACCTGTCCTTGATATGTAATGGCACGAAGATCTAAATCACTGTCAGAAATATTTTCATTGTTAGCAATACTTTGTCGTGTTTTACGTCGTGAAGCCATGTTGATTCCATAATCTGCTGAAGTTGAACATTTACATTACGATTTAATTAAGTAATTTCGTGTTTTCTGTACACATATATTGTTGGAGGTTAATGCTATCAAACTAGTACGTACACATAATTGTCATCTGGACCGAGACAAAGACATGAAGGGAAATGACTCTTCCGGAAATGAGATTTCCCGCTAAAACTCTCATGTAGTGAAAATATGTCTTTATGAATTACATTAATATAAAGGGCTCTAATAAGAGGACGCAGTTACTTAATCTTGAGTTGTGAGTGTAAATCATGTTGTTTTATGGAGCAACATTGTTAAAAATGAAGAAAATGTGTCTCTTAAAGATGATTTTCTTTTAAATTAATATGTTTTGCGTTAATGAATGAGATTTCTTGCAAGCTACACAGCTTTGAAGATAGTTTAAAACTTGTGAAAAAACAAATGAATGGAAATTATCTGATGTTGCCTCTCTTTTCATATGGCTTTGCTGTTGTTGAGAAGATTTTTAATGAAGGGACCAAATTACACCCTTAAGGCTTAGATGCATCCATATTAATATGCCTTGAGGCCTTGACTTCATTGTTCTTAGGAGAGAGATTTTTTTTTTTTTTTAATTTATCCAATATGATTGTATGTAAAACTCTGATCCCCATTCTGGTCTAAATTATCAATGATTTGAAGAAATCTACAATATGTACATGCATTAAAAGTTCCAAATAAGTTTAAACTTTTCTGGCCCAATGGTTCTTGGGAATTTTTTTTTTATGCAGCCAAAATTCACTTATTCTTAATAAGACACACGGGCGCCGGACAAATTGCTTTTAGAAGAACTCACTTGAGCTATCTCCTTAATTATTAAAGTTTATTTAAAAACATCCCGCTATTATATATTTCCTATATAAAAGTGCTTACCAACTATAGAACACAATCAGTTTTTTTAAATAAAGGAATAATAGTAACACCCAAGACACCAACTTTAAATAATGTCATTAGGGCTATGCATCTTAGCTTCAGTTATTGTTTATTTATTTGTTTTTATTTTTACAGAAAATTGCAGAAGATATCCGATTTCTTGGATTTCATGATACGTCATCTCCAGTCGAAGCTGTTTAAATCGAAACTGTCAAGTTATTTCAAGAGATAGATAAACTAAATGTTACAGAACTTTGATCGAATAACAACGTACATGAATACGATTTGAACAAATACATCATATTGAATTTTTAAGTATGATGTTGAACTAGAAAAAAATGTTTTCAATATTTACTTTAATTTACATGTCAAACTAGTTCACACTCTTGTTGATTTCATTTAAGTTATGCTCTGAAATGTTCCCACAAACCAACTTCTGACTTACTGTTTGGCTTAATAACAAACTTTTATAAATCCATTTTTATATTTCACACTCGAATATCTGTTCTGAGCATCAATTTTATTTGAAAATTTGACAAAACGCAGCAAGAAATAAACCCATTTAACTTTCTGACTTTCACTTTAATCAAATAAGTATATTTTTTAAAGACAATACTTTTGTTACTAAATTTTAGAATATATACATAATATTTTTCAATTAGTCTGAAACTGCATGGATTAAAAGCAGCTACTTTTGTTTTGTTTCTATTTTTTTAAAAGTATTTTTTCTTTCTTTCTTTTTCTAATAAATTATTTCTGTATGTTTTTTGTTGTGTTGTTTAAAGACTCAGTGCTACTTCGGGTAATTAATGTATTTAGAATAAAGTAAAAACAATAAATACACCTTTTATTTTCCTTAACCGGAAGAAAATTATTATCACTGACCACAATCTACATCCGTCTAAAAATAAACAAACAGTGGGAATTTTCAATGTAAACAATCTAAAACGAAACTAGAGGAAATAAATCCTCATTTTACATTTATCCAATTTCCACATATACGTAGGCAATAGGTAAGCAAACTTTTTATGTGGAGTTTACTCTTGATTTTCATGTAATTTGAAAAGGAAAACATGTTACAGCTGTATAAATATTTGAAAAAATATCATTTAAAAATTATTTCATTGATTATATAAGTCTCCAAATAAGTTTCAATCCAGTCAAAATTTCATAACGGTGATTAATTACACAGTATAGATAATGATGTTTTATTAACTACGTCTGGTATTTAAAATAGCGTCTTTTAAATCAGGGAAATGATGATTATTTAACTCGAAAGTAAATTGATATTATAATGTTTGAACTTCCATATGGCAGTTTGCCAGTGAGTAAATACTAAATATCAGCAATTTTTTGTAAAATCAAACATGCACAGGATTTTACTACTGCACTAATCTCCATTGTAAATCATTTGATAGTTTTCCAAGTGACGACGCATAAATATCGGCCTTGAAACAAATTGTATTTAATGGATAGCAAAGATCACCCACTAATGATGCAGTTATGACATCGTCTACTAATATGAGTAAAAACGATTATATATAAAGTTTAATAATGAATGCAAATGACTCAAAAGTCCATTCTAGCAATACAAATTAGGAGCAGAGCTAACACATGCCTCTAAAGTTTCAGAGGTGGGATCAGGTGCTATTGCTGAGTGAGCAACCACTGCTGACCGATCACACCTGCCGTGTGCTCCTGTTCCTGATCGTAAAATAACGGAAGCATCCGTAGACAGATCAGTGTATAAATCCTGACCTAACAATTGGTATGAAATAAAAGTAGGGTATTCTCTCTGGAAAACAATTGTGAAATTTGAAAGTAAGCCAATGTTAAAGTTTTTTTTCAATAAGTACAAAAATCTCCAAGGTCAAGGTCAAAAAGTCAATGTAATTGGTATCAAATAAAAGCTCTTGCCACATAGAATACTTATATAGAGTATGGAAGCCCTAGCCCTAACCGTTCAGAAGTTGTGGCCAATGTTAATTTTTTTAAAAAGTAGGTCAAACTCGAAGGTCAAGGTCAAAGGGTCAAAGTTCTTGTTATCAAATACAAGGTCTTGTCACAAGAATTAAATATGTAAAGTATGAAAACACTAGTCCTAAGCATTTAAAAGTTATGGTCAATGATTGCATTTTTAAAGTAGGCCAGTCTCAAAGGTCAAGGTCAAAATTCATGGTGTCCAATAAAAGGTCTTCTCACAAGAATTACACATATGAAGTATGAAAGCCCTATCCCTTACCGTTCAAAAGTTATGGCCAAGGTTAAAGTTTTTTCACAAGTACGGAAATCTCCAAGGTCAAAGGGTCAAGGTTGTTGGTATCCAATGAAAGGTCTTTCAACAAAGATTACATATGTGAAGTATAAATGTCCTGGTATCTACTGTTCAAAAGATATGGCCAAAGTAAAAGTTTAAAATTTTTATGTAAAAGTGGGTCAAACTCCAAGGTCAAGGTTAAAAGGTCAAATTTGGTGGTACCCAAAGAAAGGTCTTGTCACATGGTATACACATGTGAAATATGAAAGTCATGGCTCCACAAAATCAAAAGTTATGGGCAAGGTTAAAGTTTTTGCGGACAAACAGACAAACAGAGAGAGGGACGGACACGACAAAAACTATACACTTAACAAAACTTCTAAGTGTTCACTTTTATAAATGCATTTACTTAAAAACTATTTTATAGAATGGTATGATATTTTCACACTATTACAACAAATGAGTCTTCTCAGCAACTATAGAAAGACAATTCAACATCACCGATGAAATCCAATGTTCCGTGACGAAGCTTAAAAACAATAAATCTGTACTTTGCAGACCGTGTTTTGTGTAATAAGCATCTTTTAGTGATCATTATCAAATTATAAAAACTGGTTTCACTAAAAAACACAAAACATCGGCAAAATCACCATTGATGTAGCCAATATCTAAAAGTTTTAAAATTTTTAAAAATTATCAATCAATATCAAAAACCCATTTAAGCACATTTTTGTATAGGCTGTGCTCATTTTTTCATCACCAATTTATCACAATTTGAAGTTTTTGACAAAATTTAACCACACCGGAAGTGACCTTAATATTCATCTTGGGAGAAAATTTCGCGTTATACCAAGTAAAGAGAGTGTTCAAGTGTCCTGAAAAAATCTTAGAAACATGGAAACAAACCTATTCAATCAAAATGATAGGAAATCGGTGCTCGTGGCAAATCAGCTCAAGCAGTCTGAATTATCCTTAAAGTGGCGCACTTACGTGCTAAACACCCAAGGATATTGACCAAAAGGTACTTGTGTGACGATACACTGGCAAATTCCCGGATCTGAATCCCATGGAACACATTTGGGATTTTAAATGAAATGTCAAAGCCCCCCCCCTTTTCCTCACAATTTAAATGGTTTGGAAGATCTAGTATGCAGTACATGTAGGTGTGACAGCAGATGGGTCAATCTCCTATTCAGGGGTACATGGTATTCAACAATAAAGATTGTCTTGAAGTAATAGAGCGAGTAGTGGGTCCTACTCCATCGAGAGAGAGGGTACATCAGTTCCTTGACACTTTGCTTAAAATTCTGACGAGATACTTACATGAAATTTACGCAACATTGAACTTAAATATGCATCATTAACCAAGAATTAAAGAAATTATTTATTGTTTGCATTTGTTCTTTAAAACTTCCAAAATGTGAGGTGAACACTTAGAAGTTTGTTTCAGTGTATACCCCCGAAACTTCGTTTACGGGGGCATAAAAATTGCCATCTCGTTTGACTTCATGTTAGATTGTAGGTGCTGACAAGGTCATTGTATCGACTACTAAATCAGAGAAATGATGACTTTAAACTAGATGGTTAATATACTTGTTTCTTTAACTTGTTTGTCAATAAACTCGTTTTTTATAGAAATTATTCATACTTAGAACATGCAATATGGGAAATGTAGTTTAATGAAAATCAAAGTTAGGTGAAGGTACTTAAACATATATTTCTCAAAAGAAAACAAGACAAGCACATTCAAAGAATTGTGGTCCCCCGCTTTCGGTGTCTTTCTGGCTGAGATGTTATTTTTATGACATATAACTCCAAGGTGAAAGGGTCTGAGTTGTTGGTTTCTTAAGAAAGGTCCTTCACAAGTAAACATATGTGAAGGATGAAAACCCTAACCTTAACCGTTCAAAAGTTATGTTCAAGGTTAAACTTTTCCATATAGTATGTAAATCTCCAATGTCAATGTCAAAAGGTCAAAGTTGTTGGTATCCAATGAAAGGTCTTGCCTCAAAGAATACATATGTGAAATATGAAAGTCCTAGTACCTACCGTTCAAAAGTTGTGACCAAAGTTAAAGTTTTTAAAAAGTAGTTCAAACTCCAAGGTCAAGGTCAAAGGGTAAAAGTTCTTGGTATCCAATGAAAGGTCTTTTAACAGAATTACATATGTGAGGTACGAAAGCCCTAGCCCTTATTGTTCAAAAGTTTGGTCAAGGTTAAAGTTTTTCATAAGTACGTAAATCTACAAGGTCAAGGTCAAACTTCTTGGTAACCAATGAAAGATCTTGCCACAAAAAATTACATATGTGAAGTACAAAAGCCCTAGCCCTCACCGTTCAAAAGTTATGGTCGAGGTTAAAATGTTTTTCATTAGTACATAAATCTCCATGGTCAAGGTCGAAAGGTCAAAGCTGTTGGTATCCAATGAAAGGTCTTGTCACAAGAAATACATATGTGAAATATGAAAGTCCAAGTACTTACCATTCTTAACTTATGGCCAAAGTAAAAGTTTGGAATTTTTGTGTTAAAGTGGGTCAAACTTCAAGGTCAAGGTCAAATTTGGTGGTACCCAAAGAAAGGTCTTATCACAAGGAATACACATGTGAAATATGAATGTCATAGCTCCACTAAATTCAAAGTTATGGGCAAGGTTAAAGTTTTTGTGACGGACAGACTGACGGACAGACGAATGAAATTTAATGTCCCCTCGCTTTCGCGAAAGCGGGGGACAAAAATTGAAAATTTTTCAGACTTGTTGAAAATAATCTTCATTGAAGATTAAATTAAATTCATTCAAAACTTTACCAATACTGACCTTACACCAACTATAGTAACTGTTTTAAGGATCGGAATAAAAAATCGTTTAATTTTAATGTTATGTCAAATTAATTAGGTACCTAGAAAAAATACATATAGTTCATTAATTTCTTTTATAAACAAGCAAATTCAAAGAATTGTGGTCCCCCGCTTTCGGTGTCTTTGTGGGTGAGATGTTATTTTTTATGACATATTGTGTCTAATATGATCATCCTATCATATGTAATTTATTTAAAAATTATCATTGAAGTTGATTTTTTTGAAGGATGAAAACCCTAATTCTGACCGTTAAAAAGTTATGGCCAAAGTTGAAGTTTTTTAAAAGTAGGTCAACTCCAAGGTCAGGGTCAAAGTTGTTGGTATCGAATGAAAGGTCTTCTCACAAGGATTAAATTTGTGAAGTATGAAAGCCCTAGCCCTTACCGTTCAAAAGTTATGGTCAAGGTTAAAATTTTCATAAGTACGTAAATCTTTAAGGATAAGGTCAAAAGGTTAAAGTTGTTGATATCCAATTAAATGTCTTGCCACAAAGAATATATAATTATGTGAAATATGAAAGTCCTAGTATCTACCGTTCAAAAGTTGTGACCAAAGTTAAAGTTTTTTAAAAGTAGTAAAAATTCAAATGTTAAGGTCAAAGGGTAAAAGTTGTTGATATCCAATGAAAGGTCTTCTCACGAGGATTACATATGTGAAATATGTAAGCCTTAGTCCTCACCGTTCAAAAGTTATGGTCACGATTAAAGGTTTTTCATAAGTATGTAAATCTCAAAAGTCAAGATCATAAGGTCAAGGTTGTTGGTATCCAATGAAAGGTCTTGCCACAAAGAATACATATTTGAAATGTAAAAGTCCTAGTATCTACTGTTTAAGGTTAAAGTTTTTAAAAAGTAGTTAAAACTCCAATGTCAAGGTCAAAGGGTAAAAAATCTTGGTATCCAATGAAAGGTCTTCTCAAAAGGATTACATACGTAAAATATGTAAGCCTTAGTCCTCACCGTTCAAAAGTTATGGTCAAGGTTAAAGTTTTTTCATAAGTACGTGAATCTCCATAGTCAAGGTCAAAAGGTCAAGGTTGTTGGTATCCTATCAAAGGTCTTGCTACAAAGAATACATATGTGAAATATGAAAGTCCTAGTACCTAGCATTCAAAAGTTATGGCCAAAGTAAATGTTTGGAATTTTTGTGTAAAAGTGGGTCAAACTCCAAGGTCAAGGTCAAAATGTCAAATTTGGTGGTACCCAAAGAAAGTTCTTGTCACAAGGAATACACATGTGAAATATGAAAGTCATAGCTCTACTAAATCAAAAGTTATGGGCAAGGTTAAAGTTTTTGTGACGGACAGACGAATGAGATTTAATGTCCCCTCGCTTTCGCGAAAGCGGGGGACAATAAACCTATCAGAAGGTTGTCCATAAAGTTCGTCGACAAATGCTTCAATTTCTAAATAAAGACTACGCTGCCAAATGTATAAGTGGGTGTACATCTAATACAACTTCAAGCTAGATTTATACTTAAAAAAACACAATGAGCAGGGATGTCAGTCTCATCAAATAATAGTAATCTTTCACTTCTTTAAGTTTCTTTTACATGTTATGTCAATAAGTTTGTTGTTAATTCGAATAATAGTAACGGGTTATGCAAACACGTTTTCAACAATCTATAAAAGAAAAAAATCGAAACTGTTACATAATCGGAGAATCGATTCATCAGTTAAGACAGGGGACTATGGCCGAGGGATTACGAGTAGTCCGTGGCCCAGATTGGAATCTCGGGAATGAAGACAAAGGAGAAGGCCATGTTGGCACTGTTGTCAAGGACAACGGAGATCAATCTTATGAGGTTGTATGGGACATGGGAGGCAAATCTACCTGTAGAGTTGGTAAAGGCGGGAAATTCGATCTCCGCATTTTAGATAATGCGCCTACAGGTAAAAATTTGTAATCCATACCTAAATTGTATGCATTAAATAATGATAATCTGTATTTTACATCTCATGTTATCAGCATTTTTAGCTCTACTGGTCAGAGACCAGAAGAGCTTATGCGATAGTAATGCGTCCGTCGTCCGTCCGTCTGTCTGTCCGTCTGTCTGTAAACAATTTTTCAAAATGCTACTCCTCCTACAGTTTTGGTCTGATTTCAATATAACTTGGCATACAAGTAGACTACACTAAGATACATAATTTTGTGTATCGGTTTTTGATTTCAATGAACGATGTTGCCGTGGTTACTAAAAATAGAAATTTCTGTGAAATGCTTTCAAAATGCTACTCCTCACAGTTTTGGTATTTCAATATAACTTGGCACACAAGTAGACTACACTAAGATATATAATTCTGTGTATCGGTTTTTGATTTTGATGAGCGGTGTTGCCGTAGTTACTATAAATAGAAATTTCTGTGAAATTCTTTCAAAATGCTACTCCTCCTACAGTTTTGGTCTAATTTCAATATAACTTGGCACACAAGTAGACTACACTAAGATACATAATTCTGTGTATCGATTTTTGACTTCAATGAACGGTGTTGCCATGGTTACTAAAAATAGAAATTTTAGTTAAATACTCTTTAAATTGCTACTCCAAATACAGTCTTAATCTGATTATTTTTCAAATAATAATTGAAATAATAATTGAAATCTATTTAAAGGAGTGAAACATTTGTCTCGGAAGTGTGCAGGTTGTCAGAAGAATACCATCCTGGGTGTATTGTGGAAGTGTGCCTCCTGTGATGACGTCAACTTATGTACGCCATGTTACTACATGGACAAGCATGACCTGAATCATCCATTTCAGAGGATTGATAAAAAAGATGCCACAAGGTCAAATCTCTTATGCATATAATATATAATACAGAGCTGTGTAAATTCCAGTATAAGGATGGATTAATTTTTCCTCTCCTCAGCTCTTTAACCAAATCCTTAATTCCGGTCATACTTGTAAAACCTATTTAACTACAAATCAGAGGATAAATGCAGATTGCACAAAAATATACTAAATTCTTTAAAATGATTGAATTCAGGAACTGAGAATTAAAAGTTTTTGATATTTTATAAGAATTTTATACTATCGCTTGCACCATGCAATGTAAAAAGAAAATTATATGTTTTCTCTAAGCTTTGCTTTCATTAATATGAAACACACATTATGACATAATCCAAATTGAGTACTCACATTCTATTGGATGCACTAAAGCGTTCATCATCGTCATTGTCATAATCCAGCGATGAAAATTTTTCGTCTCTTTACTTACTTGTCTTTTTTTCACAAATTGAATATTCATGTAGCATTTTCACATTCTTTATTTCATACATTTCAGTGTCGATATTCCAAAAAGAGCTAACAGTGTTAAAATGAAGGCACTTGGAATATTTCCTGGTGCAAAAGTCATCAGAGGTCCTAACTGGGAATTCGGTACTCAAGACGGTAGGTTTTCCTTATCTCCTTCATTAAAATCAAAGTACTCCTCCATGGTACCTGATTCGACCTCTGATGTTTTAGAGGTCCATAATAGCTCTGCTTCTGATTTAAATAATTGTTCTATGGACTTTTGAGCTATATTATTGTTCGTTATCTCTACATATTTCATACATCTTGTAACAGGTGGGACTGGAAAGAAAGGAAAAGTGGAAGATATTCGTAATTATGGATCAGATGCAGGTGGAAGGAACTCAGTACGCGTGCGCTGGGAAACGTCAGGGGAGGCTAATGTGTACCGTGTTGGATGTCGGGGTAAAGTCGATCTTCAGTGTGTGGAGGAAGCCCCAGGAGGCTACTACTACAGGGAACATCTTCCAGTGGCAGGTGAGTACAGAACTAAAATCTGATTGTATCACTTCCATAAAAACAAATGTACTTATTTTCACTCTGTGATATGTAGGAAAAATTGCATTGACACAGCAGAAGAGTGAAATGAAAAATTCTTCTGGTCAATCGTCTGAATCTGTTTTGAAAAAGGGAGACAAATGTGTCATTGATATGCCTGAACAGCCTTTGAAAGAACTTCAAAGAGGTCATGGTGGGTGGTCTGTAAGAATGTCAGAGGTGAGTGAGTTACTCAATAGACTAGGTCAATTTTTATTGTTTGTCATTGTGTTTACATCCACTTAAAATTGTTTTCAGTGCATTGGTGAAATAGCTGTAGTAAAGGACTTCCCAAGTGATACAACAGTGGAAGTAGAGTATAAAGATAGAACATATCAGTTCCATGCAGGCGCAGTCAGAAAGGTAAACAAAGTATACTTTCAGCAAAATAATCTTCTTGCTAGATACACAGATGTGATTTTTTAAATATAGTTTTGATAACAACTTAATTTTTTAAGATTAATTAACACACTAAAAAGAAAACTTGATAATTAATGTATCGTCACGTTTTTCATTTCTAAGTCTATAATATATAAACCTTTTTGTATTGTCCGAATTTCACCGTGTCCGAATTAATATTTTTCCGGAAGTAAACAATGGATGATGCGCACGCAGTCGTAATACTACGCAGTAGAGTACATTGTTTACTAGTGTGATTTACATTTAATTTTTTCATTTTTAAATTTTCAAAATGCTTCATTGATTTGATTAAAAAATTTATATCATTTTCTTCAGTTTGATACAAAATGTTTGTATTTCAATCAAAACAATTTCTGCACTCTTTCATATAGCGTAGATTTTATTCATGTAAAAATCATTTAGAAGCTTAAATGAGGCATTCCATACCCCGCAAAAGATATGACTTTCAGCTTGTCTATGCCATAGGTTTGCTTTTGACCGAAGTACGTTTGGCTTGCAATATTGGCTTCTATACTGTTTCCTCTTTATATTCAGATCTCTCCCAGATTTTACATAATTTTATATATGGAAAAAATTATTTTTAAAGATTAAGTTTATTTATGTTTAATAAATTCAAATGAAGGTCAAGATTTCATATCGAGGGAAGTTATACAATAAGACTGAGTCACTTAAAATTCATTTGGAAGCTTAAATAAGGCATTAAATATGCAAAAACATCCAATACTGCCTAGGGTGTGGTCACTAGAAATATCTCAAATTTTACATAATTTTATTGAAAGAAAATTAATTTTTTTTAAAACTTCAAAGGTATTATAAGTGCCTGAGGATTCTATTAAGAATTTCCTAATTGCTCCTATATAGTATAAATAAATACATGTGTGTATCAAAACGATAATTTTTGTGGGCCATCATCCCTTAATTTTATGCAAAACACATGCTAAAAGTTAGTTAATAGAAATTAAAAACATCTTTTCAATGTCATTACACCAGGTTTACGACATTAAAATTGGAGACATTGTCCAAGTTCTGAAGGATGAAACAAAAGCAATTTTGCTTCAAAGAAACCACGGCGGCTGGAATGACGAAATGAAAAAGGTTTTTCTTTTTTAATAACTAAATTTTACGGAAACAAACAACTTTTTTCTGATATACATTATAGTTTTCACAAGTTATGTTTAAGTTTTAATTAAACTTAAATTTACCTGTCGGTACATCAAAGAAAGGTTTTAAAATAATAAACAGTATAAATTAATTTCATTATTTTCCTTGAAGTCGCTGGGACTGGTGGGTAAGGTGGTGAAGATAGATTCTGATGGGGACGTGGCTGTGGCCTTTGGTAACAAGGCGTGGGTGTATAACCCTGGCCTGCTTGTCCCAGTCAGTGGAAGGAGAGTGGACGTTCTAGAGGACGAAGGAAACGAGGTGGAGGGGCCGTCTCGATCCAGAGGTAATTTATCTTCGTACACAGTGACCTGATACATGTCTTTGGTCTTGTGCAATGTCAATGCTGATATAGATTTGATAAATATCTACTTATTAGGTTCCCCAGAATCTGATCAAAGACACGAGTTAGGGGGGAGTCTTGCACAGCTAATGGCGCATCTGGTTCTGTTAGAAGCTTTGGGCGCACGACAGACCATCGGCCCACAGGAAATGTTTAACGCATGCGCCAAAGGAAACATTGGTGCAATAAACCAAATGATTCAGAGAAAGAAAGATTTGGTATTCATTTTTGTTGTCAAATGGCGACTTTATAAGAATAAAATGTTATTTACTGGTGTTAGTTTTTTTCTTCACATTTGCAACCAATGCAAAAAAAAATACTGTAGGTTAATAGCTGGTTTAAATCCCTGACGCCTTTAATGGTTGCTGGACATGAAGGGCATGTAGACATCGTGAAGCTGTTGCTGCAGAATGGGGCCAATATTAACGCGTCTAATGACGACGGCATGACGCCCTTACTAGTATCTATCATAGGGTAGTGTACTTTTATTTTTGGATGAAAATTTTAAAAGGTGTATGAACTTGAATATTTATTATTATATGCAGTCATGTTGAAAATTATCGATTTCTGTATAAAATACGAGGAAGTGATTTCTATATTAGGAAAGAAGAGGATACTTCGATTTGTTTGATCAGAAATAAGGCCGACGTGAACGCTTGCAACAGACATGGACGAAGTGCAGCACACCTGGCTGTTGAAAAAGAATTATATTCAGTTCTAAAGGCTGTATTAGAAGCCGGGGCAAGCCCAAACAAACAGGTCATATAGATAAGAAGGATTTGTGATACCCATTTCCCAAAAACTGTACACTGCAACAGTTATTTATATGAGGAATCTTGTTTGAACCTAAAAGAAATATTCTTTGTCTCTGTCGATTGAATTCTTTTTTTTTTAAAAAAACCCACTAGTACTGATTTTATCATTTTATTTTTTTTTCTCATTCGCTGTCTAATTTAGATACATTTTACAATTGTAAATTAAAATTTTAAAGGACTTCCTTTAGTTAAGAGTGAATATCCTGTATTGTAATAATTAAAGTTTTATGATACGTGTGCATCTATTTACTATTACAAAGTATAAATTTTTGTTATTGTTTGTATACTCAGGACGTAGAGGGAGACACTCCATTACACGATGCTATTGGAAAAAGAAGTGACAGGGCAGTCGTCATTTTGCTGAGTCATCCACAAATAAATCTGAAACTTCTTAATAAAAAAGGTCACATACCTCTGATGTGGGCTGCTTTTAAAGACCATGATTTGTAAGTATTTTCTCTTGAATTAAATCTGTTCCTGACTGAAAGGCATTTCATACGTTGCCAATGCGTTTCAGTGCGGTTGAGCGATTGGTTGGAAAGGATTCGAGTCTGGTGAATGCTAGGAAAAATGACGGATACACTGCTCTCCATATTGCCGCCATTAATGACCATACAGACTCGGCCAATGTTTTACTGCTGAAGGTAATTATAGCAACAATAGTAAAAAGATACAGATGTAGAAAAAAGAGATGTAGTAAATGTAATACTGTAATCAAGACAGTTGCAGTGGCCTTAGAAATGGAATTTTGATGCTTGAAATATATAAGATCAAAAGTCCATTAAACAATACAACATTGGAGAAGAGCAAACTGTACCTCCAAAACATCAGAGGTGGGACCAGGTGCCATGGAGGAGTAATCCTTTTCCCAAGTGACTATAAGGACTACCTAGACCAAATAAGTATGGATGATGCATCAAGGGATGGAAAGTGAAGACTTGCTTCGTCTGCTAGATATACATGTAACATGCATTTTATGGATAGGTGACCAGTTATATCATTTACGGCAAGTCAATTCCAATGGACCAAAATTACTTAACTGTTGCATATCTAAGGATGTACACAACTAGATAACTAGGTTTTTAAAAAAAATGTTTACACTTCAACAGATGCAATGTACATATGGCAATATAACTTTATTTATTATTTTTTTTATCTAGAATTGAATATCATTTCATTTAATAGGGTAAAGCTCAAATTAATGCAAAATCTTCACAAGGCCTGACACCACTTCATTTGGCTGCACATGAGGGATATGACGGCATGGCAAAAGTCTTAATACTGAATGGTAAAACACATCTCCAATGCATTATTGCCTCTTTTCCTTTTTAAATGGAATTTGTCTCTTGAAGTTTCTTTGGTGTGATTTTCGCCTCTTCAGGTTTTTTTTCCAAGTAACAATAGACTATTTCAAATTTACAAACATTGAAACATCATATATTGAACCAAGTAAAATAATTATTGCTATGAATTATTCCTGCCAAATTTCTCAGATTTTTAGTACTTCAACTGAATAAATGAATTTGAGGAAACATGCTTAAAAAGTTAGTTGTAGCATGGAACATATTTTTAAGATTTTATTATTATTATTCAGATTTTTAGTATTTTCTATAACTTGAGCTTACACATTTTTGAGATCTCATCAAAAGCAAAGCTATGTCAGTTGCATTCTTCAAGTGATTAAATGATATATATTTTAGGGGCGGATCTGAACATAAAAGACGGTGATGGGGACACACCTTTACACCTGGCATTAATGGGACAACGGCAGACGACAGGGGGAAACGACCCGGTATACGTAATATTTAGTTTACTTTTATAAAAGGTTTAAAATACCACATGGCATATTATGATTCTTCCTGAAACCGTTCATAATAACTTATTTTTAAAGAGTCCTGTTTATTTACCAAAACCATACTGTTCACTAGCTGATTTTGTTGTTTTTGTCTTTAGTTTCTTCGGCTCCTTGGTCTTACAGTCAACCCTAACGCTCAAAATCAGGAGCGATACAATATGGCGGTACTGATGATTCAGAAAGGCGCGGATTACGAAGCCACGAACAACAGAGGGAACACGCCTCTAGAAGTCTGCCGGAATGGAGAACTCCGTAGAGCAGTCAACAACTTCATACAGAAAACGTGAGTTTATTTGTAGGGGTTTCAGATTTGCTTTAAAATTATTTATTAGACAAATACACTGTAGTAGCTATAATGTCTTCAATGTCAGCATATTTAATTATGTTCCCCAAACGAAGTTGGGGAACATATTGTTTTTACTCTGTTTCTTATTATTATTATTCTTATTATTTTTCTTCTTCCTGGGAAAATTTTGTCCACGAGTGATCTTGTAAACTACACATCCGACTTAGGTGAAACCTTTTTAGGGTCAGTAGGCATGTTATGTAGAGTTGCCAAACAAAGGTCATTTTGCGCGCACGTGCTTGCAAGACCGCGCACGTGCAACAGGTGAAATTACCAATATAATGGATATTGCCGTAACTTTTCTATTTTTTGATGAAATTTTTTGAATATATTGTAAGGATACATTAGTAGTATAAAATAACATGGTCAAAATCAGATTTTGCGCATGCACGTGCGCTTCGCTCTGATTGGCTGAAACTAAAGTCTCAATAACTTTCTTGTTTCTTGTCATAATCCTTTGAAATTTTGAACATAGTCCTACATTATGAAGATCTACCGCATGATAAATAAGAATTTTCATGAAAGCATGCGCATGTGCGCGTGCTGCAAGCTGATTGGCTGACACTTTAAATGGCAATATCTCTTTTGTTTTTTGACGAAATTCTTTGAAATTTAAAATATAGTCATGCATTAGGATATCCTACAAAATGATGTAGAAAAAAATCATGAAATCACGTGCATGCACGTGTGCTGCAATCTGATTGGCTGAAACTTTAAATGGCTATTTCTCCTTTGTTTTTTGACGAAATTCTTTGAAATTTAAAATATAGTCATGCATTAGGATATCATACAAAATGATATAGAAAAAAATCATGAAATCACGCGCATGTACGTGTGCTGCAATCTGATTGGCTGAAACTTGAAATGGCTATTTCTCCTTTGTTTTTTGACGAAATTCTTTGAAATTTAAAATATAGTCATGCATTAGGACATCCTACAAAATGATATAAAAAAAATCATGAAATTACGCGCATGCACGTGTGCTGCAATCTGATTGGCTGAAAATTTAAATGGCTATAACTCCCTTGTTTTTCAACCAAACAAAATGGGATTTAGAACATAGATAGATGTAAGGGACTCCTACAAGAAGGTATGATCTTCATGCGTGCATTTGAAACGAGTATATTTAAAAATACTCTTGAATGAGTTATTTTTATTACTTTTGGACTGAATGCTTTAATATATAGTATATTAAAATATATAAATAGTGTAGACAAGATGATATGGTCATAACGCACATGCATTCACATGCGCTTGGGTGCAATGCTAAAAATTGAATATAATTGGTATCCTTCTGGGAAAACGTTGTTAAAGTCAAAAATGCACAGAGTTTGTCTTATTTAATGAAGCTTACAGGGAATATGGCACCGAAAGGGAGTTGGGGAGCGTTTGGGGAACATCTGTAACGGTTCCCGTTACAATTAGCACTAGTTCATTGTTAAAATACAATGACAACATTAATTGAACGGGTATCTGTAATTATTACCATTTTGCTTTTGTTTTACTTTTTAACAACTAATATCTCTCTCATCAATTTAATTTAACAGGCGGGCTAGTAGACCATCAACAGGGTAAACTATATTTGAATGAAACACTATTTATTTTGCACTCATTTTCCATCCTTTTCACTCTGAATTGCTGATGGGAATCTTCCTTTGAAAAAATAATCACATATACTTTGTATATTTCAATCTACATGCATGAGGATTTTAAATCAACTAAAACCTTTATTTGACAGTTGTGAAAGTGCTGATCCTTTGCATGTATTCTGACAAACAATTTATTCAGGAACATTGTACATAATACAGTTTATTATATGATTGAATAATTTCCATCTCTCTGATTGGCTGAGATCCAACTATGTTAGAAAAATACTACGTTGTATACGTGACGTTTCAGGTGAATACAGTTTATTTCCTAATATATTGATACAAATTGTTTTGGGAAGTTATTTAAAGGACTATGACTTTTTTTTCACGTGAACAAAATATAAGCGAATATATATTTTCGGGTGAGGGTGGTAAGAGGGGATGAAGGGACCCCCCTCCAACACTTTTACTGTACAACATTTTTTACTTTTTGGCAGTCAGTTTTCTCTGATAATACTCCTTCCTTTCAAAATCTCTCATATAAAAAAGACTGATATTATTTTTTTTTCATGGAAACTAATATTGATAAAAAAAAACATTTCAAATTGATGCGACAAGTAAGGTTTATTACATTTTAATTCTGCTTCTCTCTTGTATTTGGCTAGGACTAATTTAAATGCAAACAAGTAATAAGCTGTATCATTTTATCAGTAAATCATATAATAAAACAATTACTGCTGTTTTTCGGTCAATGCCATCTTCGATATTTCACCTCAGATGGCTGTGTAAATAATAATAATATATTGGTTTTCAGTTATATTAGCTGTTTAAATTTCTATCGTATAAAACCCTTGAACAGTTCTCTGTTCCTTGTAAAAAAATTTCTTTGAATACACGATTGTTTCATATCTGTGTAAATTAATGTCGTTATATTAGGTTCATTTGTTGTCTACGAAACAATAAAGCTGTACTTTATAAATTCTTTGTTCTTTCTAGCTCAATTACATGAAGTCCATCAGCTCACAATCTTTAAATGCATCAATTTTGTACTTCGTATTTCCTTCATTTAAGTCCATGAGTTCCAGAAATCAACGTTTTAATTTTACTTCCTATTTTAACCAGAGTCTTTTATAAATACACTAGAGTTTTCTTTATTTTGAGCGTTTGTGTATATAATTTATTTAAAGGAAAATAAATTCATGCGATTTTAATATATAATATTCGTTTCTTTTAATTTCTGATCACCACATTTAACTTCAGTCGAGGCGGCGCCGCGGGACGACCAGCCACGGCTGCCAATGTTTTACAGGAGCTGTTTGCTGAGCTGCCCATCCCCTGTGTCCGGTGTAAGGACTCCACGGCCAACACCCGCCTCCTCCCCTGTAAACATAAGGTCCTCTGTACCGGCTGCTGCTTCAGGGTCCAGCACTGCCCCATGTGTCGTCAGCCTGTCCAGAACAGATGTAATCTTCGTGAGTATCTCGTTCTATTCATTTAAAAAATACTAAAGAATTGCATTTATAATTTAATAGCGAGCGCAGCGAGGCGGCGCGAAGCGCCGCTCGCATAGTGAGCTCAATAGACTAACATGTACGAACGAAGGAAATTCGGGTTGAAATCTGCACATTGTTCCAAGAAATTTTTATCTCACCGCGTGAAAAAATTCCAAACTCCCAGTAATCCTTTGCGGTGCATAGCAACAGAGTGGCTAAAACATAGCAACAACTTACTTGAAAAAAAAAAATACAAACAACGACTTATTGCAATTTCCATGCTCGTTTGCGTCCAAGATCTACAGAACTTTTTATCTGACTTCATACTTTCGTCATTTAACGGTTCGGGTATTTCCGATTTTGTCGGAAACTTCCGAGAAGTTCGGAATCTCGATCCCGATGTTTGGAAAGTGATTTCTTTTTATTATTTTGTTTTCTTCCTCTTTTTTTTTTTTTTGAATGATAGGCAGTTTATGTGTAGGCTTATGATAGTACATAACTGCGCTCGCCCCAACGGTCATACCGTAAAACATATTATTTTATTAACACAAAATTATGCAACATTAGTGAAGAAAAGTATATATTCTGATTCATCATGTAGTTTATTTTAGCCACCATAAAAAGTTGACTATATGAATAAATGATAGAATACCGGTATTCTGTACAACATGAATAATTACATTGCATTTTGTCTTCTTTTTCATGTTAGTAGAACAATAGATTAACTGCATTTTTCACCACCCTTTAGAGGTGCACTATTGTGGAATCACTTCACTCACAGGGGTCAATATTCGGGGCAATCAAAATTTATAAATTCATGGGGACATACTAGTAATGTGTGGATTTCTCATTTATGTGGTAAAGATTTACAAGATATATGTTCATGGGGATGTTTTTGTTGGAGTGTTTGTTGTTTAAGTCCCTTTCGAAAAATTTTCCACACATATTGAGACGCCACCACTTGCCGGTGGAGACTCTCTACCACTGCGCCACGCGTTAGTGGGGATGTAAATTCGTCGGTAAGGGTTGTCCACGAACATTGGTCTACCACAAATATTAATAATTCCATAGTATTTGACAATAGTAAGCACTCAATAAATGCATATACATCTGTAATTCGTTTCGCTACTACATTGTAGTTCTGGATGAGAAGCATAAAAGTATCAAACAAATATCCTATCGACTGAGAAAAATTCCGCATTGAAAATCATTTACATTTTCAGTGATGATAAATAATAGCTGTGTCTTTCTATGTGACCCTTGTTTGTTATTGTGAAGAAGTACTATTCCTCTGATTGTTTTGTGGTATTAGCAATTGATATTTATTGCCATTGTCTTAAACCTAAAAAACTCGTTTTCAGCTGGACGAATTTAATTATATAGAAAAATATATAACAATAATTGCAGAAACAAGATAAGGGGTCCACAAAGTGGCCTCTCCAAACATTTTTTCATCCACAGAGTCAACGTCTTGAAGCATAAATAAAATAAATTTCTAGAGAAAACAAGCAAATTCAAAGAATTGTGGTCCCCCGCTTTCGGTGTCTTTGTTGGTGAGATGTTATTTTTTATGACATATTGTGTCTAATATGAACATCCTATCATATGTCATTTCATAGAAATTATCATTGAAGTTGATTTTTTTTAAGGATAAAATCCCTTATCCTGACCACAGGTACTTGTGGACAGGACCCCCCCCCCCCCTCCCCCGATGTTCAACCCCGGGGCTTATCGGAATTTTTTTTCAAAAAGTATACTTATTACACTTATTCATCATGTGTACAATATGAAAAAATCGTCAAAACCCCAAAACAATCGCTCCACAAAAACATGCCCCACTATACATTATAAGGGAGAAAGGTATGCCACTCCGGTTTGTTTACTTTTTACCCCCACTGGTCTTTCTGGTTTAAAAACATGTATTTATTTTATTTCAACCTAAAATGTCGATTCACATCGTCTCTACATATATTTCTGTCTTAGTGCATGCTACCGGATTAACTCTGCATCTCGTAAGAATCCCACAATATCTGATTATCTCCTTAAACAGTTTTCTAGTCAGAACGTTGAAATTTCCCTAGGTAATCGCAACGGAAGTGCATAGAGAATGTTTCACTTATTAGGATAACGTCCGAGGAGTTTTGGACTGACGTAATAATCTCTCTCGGGTTTTATCATCATTCTCTATGCACTTCCGTTGCTTTTACTTAGGGAAATTTCAAACCGGAGTGGCATACCTTTCTCCCTTATAATGTATAGTGGGGTATTTTTTTGTGGAGCGATTGTTTTGGGGTTTTGACGATTTTTTCATATTGTACACATGATGAATAAGTGTAATAAGTATACTTTTTGAAAAAAAAATTCCGATAAGCCCCGGGGTTGAACATCGGGGGGAGGGGGGGGGGGGTCCTGTTCACAAGTACCTGTGATCCTGACCGTTAAAAAGTTATGGCCAAAGTTAACGTTTTTTAAAGTAGGTCAACTCCAAGGTCAAGATCAAAGGGTCAAAGTTGTTGATGAAATGTTTTTATGCCCCTGTAAACGAAGTTTTGGGGGTATATAGTTTTTGTCGTGTCTGTCTGTCTCTCTGTCTTTCTGTCTCTCTGTTTGTCTGTTTGTCCGCAAAAACTTTAATCTTGCCCATATCTTTTGATTTAGTGGAGCTATGACTTTCATATTTCATACGTGTATTCCTTGTGACAAGACCTTTCTTTGGGTATCACCAAATTTGACCTTGACCTTGGAGTTTGACCCACTTTTACATGAAAATTTTAAAATTTTACTTTCGCCATATCTTTTGAAAAGTAGACACCAGGACATTTATACTTCACATATGTAATGTTTGTTAAAAGACCTTTCACTGGATACCAACAACCTTGACCCTTTGACCTTGACCTTGTAGATTTCTGTACTTGGAAAAAAACTTTAACCTTGGCCATAACTTTTGAACGTTAAGGGACAGGACTTTCATACTTCATATATGTAATTCCTGTGAGAAGACCCTTCATTGGATATGAAGATCCTTGACCCTTTGACCTTGACCTTTGAGATTGACCTACTTTAAAAAAGCAAACCTTGACCATGTTTTTAAAGACTTAGGGCTAGTGTTTTTATACTTTACATATTAGATCCCTATCACAAGACCTTTCATTTGATAACAATAACTTTGACCTTGACCTTGGAGTTTGACCTACTTTTTAAGAAAAAATTTAAAATTTTACTTTCGCCATATCTTTTGAAAAGTAGACACCAGGACATTTATACTTCACATATGTAATGTTTGCTAAAAGACCTTTCACTGGATACCAACAACCTTGACTCTCTGACCTTGACCTTGTAGATTTACGTAGTTGGGAAAAAACTTTAACTTGTCCACAACTTTTGAACGGTAAGGGATAAGGCTTTCATACTTCATATATGTAATCCTTGTGAGAAGACCCTTCATTGGATATGAAGATCCTTGACCCTTTGACCTTGACCTTTGAGATTAACCTACTTTAAAAAAGCAAACCTTGACCATAACTTTTAAAGACTTAGGGCTAGTGCTTTCATACTTTACCTATTTGATCCTTATGACAAGATCTTTCATTTGATAACAATAACTTTGACCCTTTGACCTTGACCTTGGAGTTCTTTTTAAGAAGTTGAACGTTGACCATAACTTCTGAACGGTTAGGGCTAGGACTTTCATGCTCTACATAAGTATTTTATGTGGCAATACCTTTCATTTGATACTAATTACATTGACATTTTGACCTTGACCTTATAGATTTTTGTACTTATTAAAAATTTTAACATTAGCTTACTTTCAAATTTCACAATTGTTTCCAGTGAGAATACCCTACTTTTGGTACCAATTAATTAAATTTGCATTTAAGAAAAGCTTAATCTTTGCTATGTTGCCATACGGGGGCATCAGTGTTTTACAAACACATCTTGTTTCACAAGGATTACATATGTGAAGTATGAAAGCCCTAGCTCTTACCGTTCAAAAGTTGTGGTCAAGGTTAAAGTTTTTACATAAGTACGTAAATCTTTAAGGTCAAGGTCAAAAGGTCAAAGTTAATGATATCCAATGAAAGGACTTGCCACAAAGAATACATATGTGAAATATAAAAGTCCTAGTATCTACCGTTCAAAAGTTGTGACCAAAGTTAGTTTTTTTAAAAGTAGTTAAAACTCCAAGGTCAAGGTCAAAGGGTAAAAGTTGTTGGTATCCAATGAAAGGTCTTCTAAAAAAAATCACATATGTGAAGTACGAAAGCCCTAGCCCTCACCGTTCAAAAGTTATGGTCAAGTTACAGCAAAATACGAAATGGCGGTTAAATTTTCAATAGCCTGCTGGATAGCTCAATGGGGTATTTAATTTGGTCTACCAAGTATCACATTAGGTTTGAATCTAGGTCACAAGGTTACTCAGGTGTATCATTAGATTTTACAGGTAAATGTGAGCTGATTTCAATGTTGTATGAAGCCACATGTATGTGCTAAAGTTTTATGCTGTAAATACATGCAATACTTTTCTTTAATTGAAATATTTTTTTTCAGTAAAATTGTATTCCAGCGCTTCAATAATGAATATATATTCTGCACACTTCTAATTGCTATCAAGTCTTATCACTTCCATCATAAAAACCCATTGTAATCTATTTTCATAATTAACATACAAGTAATTTCATATTACAGGGTAAAATTTCTCTTTTAGACAAATGTTAATAAACAAAAGCATCAGCACCCATGTTTTAGATTAAACTGCTTAACATTGCTTAATCCAGCATTCAAATACATTTGAGTACACTATTTGTTGTACGTCAAAATCTCATCATCCATGATTTTTGATTTTATAGTTTTGCTAGATTTATTAATATAGGTTTAAAAATAATTAATATATATATATAACTAAAAGTTTTTAACTCTCATAGCAGTGAAGAATTCTCTAATTATGATATGCCTTTAATATTTGCCTCTATGTTATTTTTTAAAATATGAAAGAATAAAATAAGAATTGAATATGGTAATTAAAGAATAGAATAAATAGCTAGAGTACCTAGTCTTAGCCATAATTTCTTTTGTGAAACAAGCCCTTTATCAATTTAAATTTCAGTTTTTCAGAGAGTAACAGATATGAATAGAGAAATTTGATGGGTGTAGAAATGTTCATCATAATTAATTTAATACATTTTATATGTGCTTTTTATATCATTCCAAGTATTTATGATATTATTCAGTTTATGTACCTGTTTATGTATAATCCATAAAGTGGGAAAAGTGGGGAGCTAACTTTGTCCTGACTTTGTTAACAATACCTTTTGTAAGAATGGAAAAGGGGGGCTGTCATTCACTAATTCTGCAAAAAGTATTTGCAATTAAAGAAAAGTATTGCATGTATTTACTGTATAACACTTTGGCACATACATGTGGCTTCATACAACATTGAAATCAACTCACATTTACCTGTAAAATCTAATGATACACCTGAGTAACCTTGTGACCTAGATTCAAACCTAATGTGATACTTGGTAGACCAAATTAAATACCCCATTGAGCTATCCAGCAGGCTATTGAAAATTTAACTGCCATTTTGTATTTCGCTGTCAAGTTTTTTCATAAGTATGTAAATCTCCAAGGTCAAGGTCAAAAGGTCAAGGTTGTTGGTATCCAGTGAAATGACTTGCAACAAGGAATACATATGTGAAATACAAAAGTCCTAGTATCTACTGTTTAAAAGTTGTGACCAAGGTTAAAGTTTTTAAAAAGTAGTTAAAACTCCAAGGTCAAGGTCAAAGGGTAAAAGTTTTTGGTATCCAATGAAAGGTTTTCTCGCAAGGATAACATATGTGAAGTACGAAAGCCTTAGTCTTCACCGTTCAAAATTTATGGTAAAGGTTAACGTTTTTTCATAAGTACGTAAATCTCCAAGGTCAAAGTTAAAAGGTCAAGGTTTTTGGTATCCAATGAAAGGTCTTGCCACAAACAATACATTTGTGAAATATGAAAGTCCTAGTACCTTCCATTCAAAAGTTATAGCCAAAGTAAAAGTTTGAAATTTCTGTCTAAAAGTGGGTCAAACTCAAAGGTCAAGGTCAAAAGGTCAAATTTGGTGGTACCCAAAGAAAGGTCTTGTCACAAGGAATACACGTGTGAAATATGAAAATCATAGCTCTACTAAATCAAAAGTTATGGGCAAGGTTAAAGTTTTTGTGACGGACAGACGGACAGACTGACGGACAGACGAATGAGATTTAATGTCCCCTCGCTTTCGCGAAAGCGGGGGACAATCAGCTAATATCAATATGTTATTTCAGAGGGGCAAATCTTGGTGGACCCGTGCCATGTGCAGTAAGATATGGGATGGTATATTGTGATATGACGTTTTCTGTGAAAATTGTCTCATTTTAAAAATGCTGTCACCACGACTTTCAGACATACTGATATGTGAAACAGTATGCCTATAAACTTATTATTAAGCATCGATTGGTTTCAAGAAAGATTTTTATCATCCTTGGACTAATTTTGGGGTTAATTTTACTAAATACCATCATTACATTGTAAATATTTATGTATTATTGTTTGTAAGGAGATCAAAAGTATACATTTCTTTTGGAATTTTCTGTAACTGCTTTTGACCGTATATCTTTTTAAAGATACAAATAGAATTGAAAATTGCAATATTATATTATTATATATACTTTTTGAGGTGAATTAAATTTGTTTTTCTTAAAATACTTTTTAGTTTTCCTATCTACCTTTTAAAATCATCTTTTCAAAAAGATATAACAAAGTTCTCATATGATTTTGTTTGATTATTCATGAGTTATTGAAGCTCAAGTGACGATACCCCTCAAAAGTGGAAATCGAAAACACTCATTATCTTCAATGTCTATCTCGCGCATATGTCAGAGTCTTGTTTCTCCTTTGCATGGAATTTCATGAGAGTGTTTATCTTTCAAACCCTGGATATATTTAGCATGGGTAACCACGCAAAAAATAAGTCAAATGGCGCGCGCATGCGCCAGTTAGAGGAATACAACAATAAGTTGACTGGCTCAAAAAACCAAATTGCGGGATTGATTTCTTTCAAATTTCTTATGAATGCAATGATTATAATCGTCTACTCTATAAGTGGCTGTTTTTGTGGTAGTACGGTGGCGATTTAAGAGATGGCAGGACGAATAATACGCTCGTAACATGGCTCTGTTTCACGTTATCGTCATCGTCACGGTTGATTGAAAACCATTCCACCCTCTCTGACAACTAAAAAGTTTTAGGGGGAAAATTTATGCTTAGTAAACCGTTGTTGCCTTTTTCATTAATTAAGCAATTCGAAAACAAAACCCCATTGAACTTCCGTAAACTGTGCCAAGATTGCAATAAATTCATAATGTGTCTTAACATTGAAAAACAATGTGCATACCTCATATGCATCAAATAATGCAACAAGATTTGTTGACAAACCCGTCGTTATCAAATTGCACGTGTTTTGGGCGTTTTAGCGTTTTCCCAACATGACGTCATAAATATTAGGGTTGAGTAATTCTGAATACTGATTTTGATGCATAGTAACTAAATTTCTCTTCTGACCAATTTTCGTAATTTTCGGTCATGTGGTCAAATTTTTATCGAAAATTATGCTACCCTGCGTTTCTTTTTCCTTTCAGTATATTTTTTGCATGTACCTGGTATATGAAATATCAAATGTATTGCAAGATGTGTTTCTTTAATTACTTGTACATGTATATTGTATATAATTATGTGAACTATGTACTATTAGTCGAGAAGAGTTATTTTTTCATTATACGAGAATGAAAGATTAACAATACGATTGTTAATTAAAGCTTAATTATAGCGTTTTCTGTTCTTTGGTTTTTCATTTTTAAAAAAAATGAGGATATAATGATCGTGACATTTTTCAGGAATATTTTTATGCCTCTACTTACGTCTCTTATGTATTTATACGTTACATCCTGATAATGAGTACCATTATTTTGGCAGTCAGTTAAATGTAATGTATATAGTGGCACATCAAAGTTTTGGAACATGGTTTGGAGTGTCATGTAGAAGTACAGTGAGGTTTCTTGAATTCTTATTCAGAGGACAGTTGGGTCTGGGTTTTCTTTATATAAAATATGTTTCCATTTACGTTTACGAAAACATGGGCCCGTTTTATAAAAGAACTAAGACCAAAAAGTTGATTAAAAGTTTGCAAAATTGATTATTCTGTTTAAAATTGCTTTTCTAAACATAATTGATTACATTTCTGTTTTTTCTTTTTAATTTGAGCCATTAACAATCTTATTTTAATAAAAAAGTTTAAACAGGACAAATTTTTGGTACAAGTCGTTAGTTCGATCTTTTGTAATACAGGCCCCTGCTTTCCTGTGCTATTATGTATTGTTCGTTATCTCCATATCCTTCATTCAACATATTTAGCAGTAACCAGTTGACTTTTATTTGATTGAAAGCATTTTGCCGATGTGAAATATGGTACAGTCTTCATTCTTGGTAAATTCGAAAGGAAAGGCATCTTTTTTCCCTGCAAAAATTGGGTTTCTCGAACTCCTCTTACATTTCTTGTAACAGTTCCATTCTTGATTTGGAATTTGATCGGGGTATCATGTACCATAAGGAGCAAATAGGGTCAAAAAGGGTTCTAAACAAAACGTGGTTTCTGGGATCTCTATTGCATTGTAACAATAAGCAACAAATCTTTGGATTCTGACACATGGTGTTCTGCAGATGAGGAGTACGGTTTCAGAATATTAATTTTAATAGACATCGTAAGGGTTCAAGAAACTGAAGGAAGCGGGGGAAGGGGTGGAATCAGATTTTTTTAGTATCCTGGTTCTATGTCTTCCTCTTACATTTTTCAAGGTGCCCCAGGCATATATTAAAAGAATCCAGAATGTGTCCTATTCATGTGTACTTAGATTTCGATCAACAACATATGGCGATTGGAAACTGAAACATTTTGGAAAATGTAGAATTATGGTTTCTTCCCTTGTTACCCAAATAAGTGAAAGAGATTAATTTAGAGTCCAACAAGTAAGTGTAACCCAAATAAGTAAAAGAGATTAATTTAGAGTCCAACAAATAAGTGTAACCCAAATAAGTAAAAGAGATTAATTTAGAGTCCAACAAGTAAGTGTAATGAAATATATGGAGTTAATAAACAGTTCGCAGCTAAAAAGACCATTTAAAAAATACAAATATTGGAGCAGAGCAAAAACGGACCTCTCAAATATCATAGTTGGGATCAGGTTCCATAGAGGAATGAGCATTCTATGCCGACCGATCATAAACCCCCTGTGCTCCTCGTCATAATTGGGAAATAACGGGAAAATCAGACGACAATTCAGTGTCTAAAAATGCCCTAACACAGTATGAAAAACTGTTTTATGACGGCATCACGTTCTGATCTCTTGAAGCCCGAGAATAGAATGAATTGATAGTGATTATTATCAATGACTTGCTTATGGAACGGGAGAGGAGAAAATGCAGCGGACCAGACCGGGATTCGAACCCGGGCCCCCTGAAACTCCGGTCAGGTGCTTTACCAACTGAGCTATCTGACCCCGGCGATCGAACCCAGGTGACCGCCACATTCCTCCCTCTTTAAAGGACTTTGGCCCTCCAAAGACCCCAACCCAGACTCATCCCTGGCAGGTCTTTCACCTGTCAATTCCAGGATATGGCATGGCACCAAATGTAACGGAAGGGGAGAAAATGCAGCGGACCAGACCGGGATTCGAAACCGGGCCCCCTGAAACTCCGGTCAGGTGCTCTACCAACTGAACTATCTGGCCACCGGCAATCGAACCCGGCTGACCACCACACTTACATTATTCATCCACACAAAGATTACACAGGTGAATTCATTTTTATAACACAGCTATATGTATGTGTGGCAAACACGAAATATCAACAAGTCGTTTTTAGAACATAACCTACTTATTCAGCCAATCAAATGCTTCAATTTCTCTCGAAGAATTGATTCTTCATGGTGAAGAATTTTTCTATTTCTGAAAAATTCAACGGCGTCTGATTGGTTCACTTGACAGTTATATAGGTGTGTCTTTATTGGTCTTTGTTCAGCACACAAAAAGAAACTATTCAAAACCCACGTGCTGTTTACAATCATGATATTTAAACTTTCTAGGCCATGCTATATTTTTTTCCCACTGTAATGTTTTGTCGCCTTTTTTGAATATTATTTTTTTCACATTTCAGCATACAGAAAATACAACCATCGTCATATATATATATATCAGAGACGAACCTTGTCTTTGAAGACAGATTTAATCACAATTTTCATCATTTTTTTATTGATATTAGACAGCCATACCCACTCCTGCTGACTAGGGCCTTTTCATTTTAACACAAACATTTTTCAAAAATGTTGATATTACGATTCTTGTTACATGGGTATTCTTTTTCTTGCAAATATAAACATTACATAGGCATTGGAAATTAGTGTTTACCTTTTTTTTATTAGTTTAGTCCCCCCCCCCCTTTCAATTTGCTTCCAACGCCCATGGTATTCATTAGTTCAGTAACTTTAATATCTTCACCATACCATTTCCCTAGTAAATCAAGGTATTTCATATAATCCAGTGCTAACCTGAATGGGTTGGGAGTCCATTCTGAAACCGCGTGTGTTCGATATTGATTGCCTGCTCGATATGTACAACGAGCGGTCAAGTTGAGTCTTATATATGACACAGCCGTGGGAGGAGTTAATTTTTAATCCATGCATTTGATTGGCTGAGGTTATGTTCTAAGTCAGTAAGATCATATGAAGAGAAATCTTCGTCAATTTCTTCATGACGAAGATTTCTCTTCATATGATCTCACTATTACAAAGAGGCAATTCTTTTACTTTCAAGCAAACTAGAATAAACAAGAGGCCCACGGGCCTTATAGGTCACCTGAGTAACATGTAACAACTTTCCAACAACTGAATTTGGTTTGACTCTTTTAAACCAAAAGGCTTGAAATTCACAATTTTGAAAGAGGCACCATTGTTTTTCACAACTATTCACTTAGCATGCTTATTTTGGTTACTTAATACCCAAAGGCATCTCAGAGTAACAGAGAGAAAATGCATTTCCACTTTATAACCACCAGTTGTGCACATCAACCCAGAGGAATCACTGACCCTGGGGCCACATACTTCAAATTTTTGAAATTTTATAAATTTCATTTCATCAGAAATGGGTGATTAATATCAAAGAGCAGATTTCAAGGTATTACTTTATTTTCAGACTATGTAACAACCCCCATGCCCCCGTCTGCAGTACCCTTAATGCAGGGGCCCTGAAATTAACCATTTTGGAGTAGGCGCCTTTCTTCATCATAAATATATACTTAGATCATTGGCATTATACCAAAGGCAAAGAGAAAGATTTCCAAAGAATGCATGCGTTTGAACAATATAATCCTTATTGAGCCCTAGCCTAACACCAGAACCCCTGACCCAGGGGCTATGAAATTCACAAATTGGGTAGAAGCATCCATCCTTATCATAACTATGTACATAGTTCGTTGGTTAAATATCCAAACGCAAAGGAGAAGATTTTTAAAGAATTTATGCATTTTCACTATATAATCAATAGAGCCCCGCCCTAACACCCGAACTCCTGACCCTGGGGCCATGAAATTTACAATTTTGGAAAAGGCAATCTTATTCAACATAAATATGTATTTGTTAGCTTATTTAATGCCCAGGAGCAGAGAAAAAGGTTTTCAAATAAATAATGCATTTTCACTATACAGTCTACTTAACCCCGCCCTAGCACCAGAACCCCTGACCCTGGGGCAATGAATTTCACAATTTTTGTAGAGGACCCAATACTGATTACAATCATGCCAACAGTTTGACTGCTTGATGTCCAGGAGCATATAAGATTTTTAAAAGATTGCACCCATTTTAGTGGTTTTGGCCCCACCACTCAGGCCCCCAGGGGGAGGGCAGGGAGCAGGAAATTCACAATATTTGTTCTCCTCACCAATAGATGCTTTGCGCCAAAATTGGTTGAAATTGGTTGACCGGTTTCAAAGAAGAAGCTGAAATTGTTCAAAAGTTAGCGTACAGCGGACGACGACGGACAGCGATGGATCGCAATAGGTCACCTGAGTTTATTTTACTCAGGTGACCTAAAAAATAGTTGTATATCTTTTGGTCACGGGTTGCTTTACTTGATGACTTGTTTAAATCTTTCCATATTTAGATATATACAAGAAGCATTTCTAAGTACTGTTTAAGCTCGACAGTGTCTTTGATAGGCACTTAGGATTCGAGTTTGAATCATTTCTATTTCAGATACATGTACAAATGTACATCATTCATCATTGTATGCTGTTTAACGTCCCTCTTGAGAATTTTTCACTCATTTGAGACGTCAAAACTTGCAAACTTTGACCTATACTCGTCACTCAGGACATTGATCGGGGGGGAGGGGTGTCTTTTTCGTGCCAGCACCTACTGCGACACGGAACCTAGGTTTATACGGTCTAATCCGAAGGACAGGTTTGCACGTCTCACTGTGGGATTCGAACTCGCGACGTAAGAATCAGCTCCTTACTTTGCGACTCTAGAACAGACGCTCTAACCACTGCGCCTCGCGGGTGACTCTATTTCAGATACAAGTATTATATTCATTCTTTACTTTAAAGTAATGTTTTGATATTTTGCTGTATCAGTTAAACTTCGTTTTTACAATAAAGAAAAATTTAACATGGAAAAATAGGAATTCGTGCAACATATGACAAAAGGCACCGACATTGATATCAAACATACACAATAACTTCCTAAGGTATTAAGCGAATATGAAAGGTTCCGTTTTCCTTATTATGAAATATGATACAACCATTTCCTTATCAACAATCAGCTTTAATAACGACATTGATACCTCGACCACCTCCAGACACGAAAAAAGCTTATCATACGCGACAATTGCAGCTGTTATTACCGAACTGTGCATATTTGAAACGAAAGTAGGACTTTGTGTTGGATATATAGTTGTGAGCTTATAGTCGTGCTATTTTCTACTGTTCGTTGTCTCCATATCCTTCACTATACTATAACAATGTCGACCGACATTCCGTATGTGATCAGCAATATAACCGCCCCGGAGAGTCTTCCCCCAGCCGTGGTGGTGTTGACGATGGTCAGCTGCCTTTTCTCCGCGGTGGGCGCGGTGGTGATTTTCGTGGCGTATTACGTGGTGGAGGAGGCACGGAATCAGACCCGGCGACTTCTGTTCTACATAACCATAGCTGATCTGCTCACTTGTCTTGGGAATCTCATTGGATCCATCCGATATTTTAATCGAGATGAGGATGATTACGTGAACAAAGCTGAGAATATGGCACTGGACTGTAGCAGGACAGATAGTGTCTGTATGGTACAGAGTTTTGTTACCACATTCTCTACACTGGCATCTTTCTTTTGGACATGCATTATCATGCTGCACATTCTTATGACGCTCTACACTAGAAGGGAGTGGACGGGGTTCTACAAACGTGTCCTCTTTCATATTATATCATGGGGTGTACCTAGTAAGTTTCATGCATATTGCACATTGTAATTAAATGGAATTATGAACCTTACTGTAGCACTTTTGAGATTTTAAAATTGTTTATCGAGTTATGTTGAAATTTTACCAAAATTAAAGGAATTTTAATAAAATTTTCCATACATTTTTGCTAGAAGTCATAGTTGCAACTGTGTTGCAACATTGTGTACAAGAAAATATTTTCATCCAAAGCAGCAATTAAAAAAATATTTACCAAAACGCATCTTCATTCTTCTTCATTTTAATATTGAGATTTAATATAACATAACCTTAAAACTTAGAGTAGCTATAGTCTTGAAAACAAAGACAAGAATTCAATGGATTATTGAAATCATTAATTTAATCCATAGACTATTCCAATATTGAAATAACTGTACTGATTCAGTGCACACTACTGAAGTGTTTTTTTTCATTTTGTAATGATACCCCGGTATTTAAATGTAAATATTTTGAACCCATCTTAATATTAAGCATATCACGACCAGAAACGATTTGGTAAGCTTATTTTTACTTCGACATTTTATTTTCTAGTGATGATAACCTTAACAGCAGCTTTCTGTGGAGCTCTCGGAGAAGATTTTTCTATCAGTACTGGACCCTGGTGCTGGATCAAAGGTTGTCTACCTTCATCAAAAGTGGTCACGTGGATGTTTGTCACTGCCAAATTCTGGGAACTCTCTACTTACGTTCTGACAACAGCATTCTATCTGTTGATTAAATTTGTACTGTGGAGGAGACAGGTAACGCTCGTCTAGATTTTTTTAAATTTTGCCTTATTTTAATCTTGCTTTATTTTACAATCAAAAGTGCTTATGGATTCACAAGATAAATCGTGGGGATGTTCTGAGATATATGGAGATAACGAACAGTATGAAAGCTCAAAAATACATTGAACAATCCAAATTTTGGAGCAATGTTAACACTGACCTATAAACATCAGAGGTTGGATAAGGTTGCCATGGAGGATTAGCATCCTCTGTCAAAGGACACACTGCCGTGTGATCCTTGTCATGATCGTAAACTCAATGATAGATTGTATTTGATAAATATGACATTGTATCGACCATAGAACTGATTAAAAGACTGATATTCTTGTAAACATCAGAGGTTGGCATCAGGTTGCCATGGATAATTTGCATAACGGGCGAAGCATGTATTCGCCCGTTATGCATAAATTATCCCATGTTTCACACTATCGTGTGTCCCTGTCATGATTACTAAATAGACGGAAAATCCAATTCATTGTGAAATAAAATTGTAGTTAAGACTTTAAAAATGTAGACTAATCGATTTAAATTACACGAGAACTCCCATGCCAATTTCAATAGTCGTCGCCCACTGACGTCAAACACAAAGGCAGCCGCACGAGATTTACATGCATATTTGGCCTCCTTAGCTCCTGACCTATCGACCTTCCTAATTTACATTCCGGCAGAATTATCAAGAAATAAACCCCCCTAACTTTCAAAGAGTTATCACAGAGAAAAAAAAATTAGAAAAGGAAATATATCATGATCATTATGTTTTGTTTCAGGTTCTTTCCTTCAGACAGAGGAGCAATGACAATCTTCGTGACGAGGACCAGCTGTACACCATGATATTCCTCGTTCTCATTCCTCTAAGGATCTTCGGAACTGGTCGCTTCTTCATCGCTTACCACAAAACTCTAACCAACAACTCACTTGTTAAATTTGGCACTATCGACCATGTTCTCCTTTACCTTCAGAGTATTGGTGACAGTGGCCAAGCTTTCTGTAACTGTATCCTCTTTTGTGCGAGAGACGGTGTCGTTCGCAATGGTTTAATTAACAAATTCAGACATACATGTCAGTGTCAACATAATGATGAAACTGAGAGACTATTGCCAAATACTCCTGTTAATTAGGCATCTACATTTGACATTGTCGACAAAGTATTGAATCTCTAAGACTATTGCACACTTCATCCGTAAAATAGACTCATACATGTCGACAGAACGATATAACCGCAAGTCTTCTGCCAATAACTTATCACCGACATTTACTGTCATGACCTGATAAATGCAGATCTGAAGTTCATTGTAATGTTGTATATATATTTTTATGTACCTATATTAAATACTAGTATACTGATCCTTTACAAAGTTTGAAAATGACAAGTAAATGTGGTTAACCAAATTAAAAAAGTATCTTTAGAAGAAATCCCAAGAAATTAGAAATATTTCCAGCCACTTACCTGTTTTCCATCTGCAACAATTTTTAAGGAGGATTTGTGAAATTTTTATTAGAAAGTTAAAGCTAAGGATCAGGATAGGAAAGTAACAGACAGACATACTATGGAACACCAAATTAACATAGACTCAAATATTTGGACTTATCTTTGAATAGTTGAACTCATCTCTGAATAAAATGAAGATACGTAGAATCAATTAAATTATACCAGGGACCTACTGTACTGTAGTATATACTTTGTATATATTCGTCCCTGATTATTAATATACCTATCTTAGATTCATTGAAAGAAAGGTGTAATTTAGATAAGATAGGTACAATTAATTAAAAGATAGGTACAATTGAAACCTATACTTTACAAGGGAACTGAGGAAAGGTAGAGTTAAATTATACCTAAGTTTAATTCTGTTTCTGTTATTAAAAATTATGAAAACTCCCTCTTCTCAACGACTTGAACATAGAGGAAACTGCACACAACATTTATATGGGGAGTATTTGTTAGAATCTAAAATAATAAAAGATCTTTCCAATTCAATTGCACCTTGCTTTAATTCATGGCATTTGTATCTTCAAATGAATATTGTACCTCTCTTCAAAAGAAGTAAAGATAATAATTTAATTAAAGAATTATCTTTCATTGATTTAAAGATAGGTAAAAATTTTCAACATGCTTCGTACAAAGTCTGTTAGGCTAGGTATTTGTTGAATTTATTGAGGTTACGCACCTTTTCATATGAAAGAGTTGAGAGAGATAAGAACTTCTATGCATCCGGACTTTAATATTTAAGATATCAAAAATTACTTAATTATCCAGAAGACCACACGGAAGTGTAATATTAAACTAATTTTTTTCAAGGTCAAACCATTTTAAAAGCTTGATCTGAAGCCTGACCTTAATCCTTATGTAAGAGTCAATGAAACTATCATTAATTGACAAAGCAAACGGTGGTGTTAACGCATTCCTTTCAAAAACTTCATGCAGTGTGCTTTACACGTTATTACTGTAAATTATACAAGTGATTTGAGTGCGAGGAGTATAAACCCTTCAAGCGCCAGTGCGTGACTAAACTTACACATCTTACTGTCGGTTTTAAATCGAAAGTGCATTAATTTTAACATCTCGGAAGTATGTCTGGAAACAACAGTTCCCGGTGGAGTAATGAGACCGACCTTATCCCGGTCAGTCTCCCGGGGTCCGTCCTGATTTGTACTATTGTCAGCAGTTCTTTGTCCATATTCGGAGCAGTGCTCATCTTTGTGACTTATTGTATTGTGACCGTGGCCAAAAACCAGACGAGGCGGCTACTCGTGTACCTTACTATAGCTGATCTACTGACGGCCGTGGGGAATCTTATGGGCGCCGTCAGGTACACGTTAAGAGATGAATCGGAATACATCAACAAACGTGATCAAATGGCTGTAAACTGCACCAATACAGACCAGATCTGCGTTATACAGAGTTCCATTACTACGTTCTCGTCGCTGGCTTCTTTCTTCTGGACCAATATCATTATGGTTCATATTCTCATGACTTTAATTTCACAAAGAGAATGGTCAAGATTTTTCATTAAAGTCTTATATCATCTTGTGTCATGGGGAGTACCGTGTAAGTATTTATATCTGTTAAAAGTTATCTGTAGTTTGGTGTGTAATGGATCATGCGTCTTGATGTATAAGGTTAACAATGGGGTTAAAAATTTCACACAGATTTCTTTTATCGCATCAGGTGTTTAAATATTTGCCCTCCGTCTGAGCAATCATGACTAAATTAAATTTATTACTGACGTAAGGAAACTTCTGTTTACGAATCAAAAAAATGAAAGAAAAAAAACAACAATAAAAAACTCGTGCATAAAAAAAGTTTACCTATAATATAGTGATGATAAAAAGCATGTCACGCATTTTCGAGTCAACAAAATAGCTTTAAACTTCTTTCAGACGAAAAAGAAATACCTCTTCGATTTGTAAAAATACCATTGTAGACAAGTGTTATTTTCATACATCAATAGATTAGTTTGTTTATCAGGCATATCGATGACATCATGTCTTCCTTGTTGATTAAATTTTTGCTTATCTGAAATAAAAAAAAAACGTGAATCAAATGAAAACGATAAAGACAATTTAAAAATATGAAAAAGCTTGAATGAAAAAGGTATTATAATTGTATACATGTTGTGAATCATGCAGATAAAATTACAATATATATTAAAATAATAAATTCTTTTACGCATTCTGACTTTCTTCCAGTGGTTATAACTTTCCTGGCGGCCTCAATGCAGGCTCTAGGCGAAGACTTCTCGATCAGCAGCGGCCCCTGGTGTTGGATCAAGGGATGTCTAAAACCCGGAGAGGTCATTTTCTGGATGACATTTACCGGGAAAGGCTGGGAAATCCTTACTTACTTTCTCACCATGACTTTCTACATCCTTATGAAGTTTTACATGATCAAAAAGGTAGATTTAATGTACTTTAGCAATAATGATAACATGCATGTGTCAAATAAAAAGAAGATAATTTTCACATAAATTGTCACATAATTCTTTATCATAGACAAGTAGATATCAGTACATACGCTTAGCGACAGGGTAACTACAGCCTATCAATGGAAAGGGTAAGGATAACGAACAAGGATCGATCGCAGAAAAACCTACAACCTTACAAACAGTATATATATCTGTGACAAGATATGAAACACGGACCCCATGGAAATTCCAGGGGATGAATAAAGATCATAAACTCGACAAATAAATCTCCTTTATACTTAGGAATGTATAAAACTATTGTCTTTTTCTTCCTGCAGAAAATGCGATTCAAAGACCGGAGTCAAAACCACCTCCGCGAAGAGGATGAGCTCTACATCATGATTTTCTTTGTCATTGTCATTCTCCGAGTGGTCGGCACCGCCCGGTATTTCATGGCCGTCACGAAGGCAATAGACGACAACTTGCTTCACAGCTTTGGTCAGACAGACATGGTTCTTCTTCATATTCAGAGTGTTGGTGATAGCGCGCAGGCCTTCTGCAACTGCATCCTGTTCTGTGTGAGAGACACTGACGTCAGACGGGAATTATGGAAGCGAATCTGTGCCTGTCGTCTGTCACCTGATGAAAGAAGACCTTTGGTTACAGAGGTCAATAGCGAAGTAAATTAAAATATCTATTAGTTAACCTTACAAAATTATATATGGAAGGATACCTTCACATTTCCCTGGCTTTTTCACGATTTTGATATTTTGTGTGCCAGGAAAACGTCAGAAACGGCGCCATTACGATAACTGGGAAATCACCGCCTCTTCCTAGAGGCGGCATTTTCGGGTTAATTTTCCATACAATTTATCATTGCTACAATGACTTTAGTACTCGCCAACATTGTTTTATTTGTTAGTTTATAAAATATACAGTCCGGTGAAAATATTTTATGATACTGTCGAGTTTTGTTTACATTTCTTGCAATTCAAAATCTTGCAAGATCTGTATTTTAGTCTGCATTTTAGTTCCCCTTTTAACTATTACTATTTTAGAAATAAAGATATTGTACAAACTTTACTAGCAGTGGGAACGTAACATGAGAGGATTCTTTGTTACGATTAAGTGTACTAGTTTTCCACAATTGTATTTTTCTAATATTGCATTTAATGGTTCACTTTCATTTTTAGCTCTACTGGTCAGAGACCAGAAGAGCTTATGCGATAGTAATGCGTCCGTCGTCCGTCTGTCTGTCTGTCTATCTGTCCGTCTGTCTGTAAACAATTTTTCAAAATGCTACTCCTATTTCAGTTTTGGTCTGATTTCTATAAAACTTGGCACACAAGTAGACTACACTAAGATACATAATTCTGTATATCGGATTTTGATTTCGATGTACGGTGTTGCCGTGGTTACTAAAAATAGAAATTTCTGTGAAATTCTTTCAAAATGCTACTTCTCCTACAATTTTGGTCTGATTTCAATATAACTTGGCACACAAGTAGACTACACTAAGGTTCATAATTCTGTGTATCGGTTTTTTATTTCGATGAACGATGTTGCCGTGGTTACTAAAAATAGAAATTTCTGTGAAATTCTTTCGAAATGCTACTCCTCCTACAGTTTTGGTCTGATTTCTTTATAACTTAGCACACAAGTAGATTACATTAAGGTACATAATTCTGTGAATCGGTTTTTTATTTCGATGAACGGTGTTGCTGTTGTTACTAAAAATAGAAATTTCTGTGAAATTCTTTCAAAATGCTACACCTCCTACAGTTTTAGTCTTATTTCAATATAACTTGGCACACAAGTAGACTGCACTTAGATACATAATTCTTTATATCAGTTTTTCACTTCAATGAATGGTGTTGCCATGGTTACTTAAAATAGAAATTTCTGTTAAATACTCTCAAAATGCTACTCCAAATACAGTTATAATATAATGTGGCATAAAAGTAGACTACACTTAGAACATAAAGAGACTTAATCAAGGATCATTATTCTATTTATTGCTGTTGAAAAGTTTCAAGTTCCAACTGCTTAAGTACTTTTCTCTTCCTTTGCTACAAGTACAAACCAGTAGAGCTTCAGTCTCGACAGAGAGGTAACAGCTACAGTAGCATACGTTCAAGAAGAGGCATTATAATGTTTGACGTGTGCGCAATGCTTGATTTAAATATACGTGTAATTTTTATTCTAAATAAAGAATGCTTTAAATTGTCACTTTGATTACAAAGTCAAATGCTTGGTTTGTCTGTTTTGCTGGGTGAAATTGATATCTCGGTGGTACCGGTAGTACCTAAGGTATCCTCGGAACTGAAGAAAATGATTAACAGACGATGCTACAATTCCATATGCGATTTGTCTGTTGTTGTTTTTATCTCTACTGGTCTGACCAGTAGAGCTTATGCGATAGTAATGCGACCGTCGTACGTCCGTCTGTTTGTAAACAATTTTTCAAAATGCTATTCCTCCTGCAGTTTTGGTCTGATTTCAATATAACTTTGCATACAAGTAGATTACACTAAAATACATATTTTGTATATCGGTCTTTGATTTCGATGAACGGTGTTGCCATGGTTACTAAAAATGGAAATTTCTGTGAAGTTCTTTTAAAATGCTACTCCTCCTACGGGTGTTGCTAAAACGCGGAACGGAAAACGGAACGGAACGGAAAACGGAAAATTTATTTCAAACAAATAACATAGATTCGATATATAAATCAGATATAAAAGCAATATTCTTGATGCAAAAGTCATACCTAATAAAATTTATTGTAAACTATTATATATGTAGGGCTCCAAAGTGCGATGGGACTCCAAAATCCGATGGTCACGCCAAAGTCCGATGGTCTGCACCAAACCCCGATGGTCTGACACGCCAAAGTCCGACGATGCGGAAAACAATTAACGTTTATGACGTCATAGTAGCACTGCGCCCAAACCTCAATGTCGCGACATGCAAAGGTCTTTAGAATAAGTATAAATAAGTGCGAAAAACTAACCCTTACTTTCAGGCTAACGCTCGAAAAGTGTGTATTAACAATAACCTAAATATCTTGTGTTGGGGCAAGACTAACCCTAATCACTCGACTTGGGTGCGAGGACTAACCCTAATTCACTCGGGTTTTGCAATGCAAGGACTAACCCTAATCAATCGAGTGGTGTGCGAGGACTTACCCTAATATCTCTGGTAGGTGCAAGCAATAAGCAAAATCAATAATAAAAATTGAATTTGAGGACGAATTCAGAAATGATTGCTTTTGAATGCAGGACAACGGCGTCAAGGATTGACGTCGGACTATTGTGACGTCATAAACGTTTATTGTTCATCCGCACCATCGGACTTTGGCGTGCAAGACCATCGCACTTTAGCGTCGCGCGTCTCATAGGAAACGAGCCATCGGACTTTGGCGTGGCCATCGGACTTTGGCGTCCGTAAAGACAATGAGCCATCGAGGTTTGGCGCAGACCATCGGGGTTTGGCGAGTGCATCGGACTTTGGCGTCACCATCGGACTTTGGAGTCTTACATATATATTCATGAATCATACACACCCTCCGCTCAGAACTGGTGTACAAGCGAAAGATCTATAAAATACATACTAACTAGACTCAAAGTCCTGAGTGTTCATCTGAGCGTTTCAAACAAATTCTTTTTTAAAAGAAAGTTCATTTCTAAAAGAGGTATTCCTTGAAATAGGGAGAAGGAAAAAAGTACTAGTATGTACATGCATATATTTGTCAAAGGCGTGGGGGGGGGACTCCCCCTCACTTTTTTTGCAAAGGTAGCAATGGTATAGACAATGGATATTGGAGCGTACATGTAGGCTTAGCCCCCCCCCCCCACCACCACCACCCCGCCCCACTTTCAACAGGAACGTCGCAGATTAAGCCAAGGAAGGTTAATGGGTAGTGTCTGGAAACAATTTGAAAGAAGTTCGACACCACCCCCACCCCCATCCCCCCCCCCCAACCCTTCCCCACGAAAGAGGATATTCGTGTTTGGGCAAAGGACATATTTTCCTTTTTTGGATTGTCAAGTTTTTTTGTATGTTGGAATTTTTCTCTCTTCCACTTACCCCCCCCCCCCTTCCGACGCCAGTGTTTGTAAAGACAAAAATAACTAGTTTTGTCATTCAGATTAAGCAAGTAGTAGCAAATCCAGGAATCTTGAAAGGGGCAGGGACAGTTTGATATATGGGTAGGGGACCAGAGCCACATTAAAAAATCAATTATATTAAAACTTGTATATATTTTGGACACAAAAAGGGGAGCGGTCTTTTTGCAACTTCTAAGACCTTTCCGATGAGCGGGAAAAAAATGAAACTCACCCCATCCCCCACACACAAACATCGCATACAAACAAACTTTAACTTCATTGAATGTAAAGATGCTTCATTAAATCTACCACAGGAAATTTTTCGAAATTTATTTATCCAGAATTTAAATACAAGTTTATAGAAAGCGACTCCATTTATTAAATTTTAACAACCAGTGTTACATAAAAGGTGTTTAAACGTAATCTTCATGTTTTTTTTTTACACTATTTCTCTTTCCATGGTTCGACATCTAGATATCAAATATCCCCCCCCCCCAACTTTTTTCCAGTCATAACCTTTTTACTATAGAAATGTTCATTGACACCCTCGCGTTGTTAACGTTGTTTTATTAATGTAATCAATATTATGTAGTAAGTTAGTATAAAAACATAGTGCTGAAAGATGTTGGACCAGGGACTTAACACCCCCCCCCCCTCCCGAAACAAACAATTGTCATCTTTTTGTTTTTTGTTTTTTTATTTTGTTTTTTGCTTGTCAGATACTTTTCAAGCAAGTTTAACCCCCCCCCACCCCGTTTTCAAATTTGACTCTAGGTCACTGCATGCTATATCAGCGATTTTCGTAAATAAGAGACTGATCATGAATAAATCAACTTGTATTTAATAGTAGGGAATCGAATATGTATAAGATATATCGTTTATGAGTAGATTTATGTTTTTTTAGTGATTTAATCTAAAATAATACTTTCCGTTTTCCGTTCCGTTCCGTTTTCCGTTCCGTTTTCCGTTCCGCGTTTTAGCATCACCCTCCTCCTACAGTTTTGGTCTGATTTCAATATAACTTGGCACACAAGTAAACTACACTAACTACATAATTCCATTTATCGGTTTGTGATATCGATGAACGGTGTTGCCGTCGTTACTAAAAATAGAAAATTCTGTAAAATTCTTTCAAAATGCTACTCCAAATACATTTTTAGTCTGATTATAATGTAACGACTAAAGTCAAATTCTTTTAATGGTTCTTTATTTTTAATTAAACATCAAATTGGCAATGAGCTACAAACAAACAAAAATATAGACACACATTACCAATTAAACACAAACAAAAATAAAAGAATTAATCAGTACATGAATTTAATTTCAACTGAACACATACCACCAAAATAAGGCAATGCCACACCCGGTCACTCATACATGAAATATTTTACACTGCGTGTGTGGTCTCTACATTGAAATAAACAATATACCGGTATTTATTATATATACGATAAAAGGATATAATATTAAGTATAATTCAAGTTTAATACAACACAAAATTAACAACATTCTTACCGTAACACGCATCACTCTTAAACTCTTTATTTCGAACAAGTTCCGTTCATAACAAGGTCGTCAGTACAGTGAGTACAAGTAGAGCTTTAAAAAAAAAAGCCTTACCGTCTTTAGCAACAACCTTAAACAATAAACTAATCTACATCTTTCAAGTCGTATAATTCTTTTGAATTTCTTGTTTATATTATATTTCTACATTAATTTTTTACTGGTATTAGCCCTACCGCGGTTGTCGCTCGGTCATCGAATATAACTTAAGTGTGCATGAATTATTTTTTTTAATAATTTAAGATTTCACTTTGGCATCATTTCTAAAATATGAATTGAAACCAGATTAAAATATCAGAACATTGATTTTGAATTGTCAATCGATTCTGGTAAAAATTATACCGACTTATTTGCAGGTCAATGGCAAATTCCAACAAATATTATCTCTAAAAATAAACCGACTTTTAGGCGGACCGATAGGATAGTATATACGGTATATCAAGACGTTCTGGACTTCGGACTTCTTTAACAGAAAATATTTTGAGAATTTTGAAATATAGAAAAAAAAACTACATTTTAGTGTTAATTTTTTATTGTACTTTTTTGCAACAAACGACGTCTCTCCTACTCTATTATTTGATTCACTTTTTCAAAATTTCAGTCACCGTTACCATCAGTTAGGATCAGAAATCCAAAACTTCAAGAAAAAGCTGTTAGTACAAGTATATGGGTTCCTCATCCTCGGACCCAAAAAAAGATATACTACATATATACATTATTTGTAAATGATTGACTAGATATACATAAAGATACAACCATTCATGCAAGCAAACGGTTCTGTGACAAGTAAGCTTATAAAACAGTTGTCTTTATTTTGAAAATATATGGTTATCCTGCTGGAGCAATTGACGGTTGTGTTTTGCATCTTCTTGTAATATATCTTTGCGGATATGTTTTGAGTATTCTAATTGGTTTCGTATGTTATATGTTGCCATGTGCTTCCAATGAAATGTAACTTCCGGTTAATGGTGAAGTCAATCCAGCCAGAAGCATGAAGCACATGGCGGATGTGACTGGGCGTCAGGGAACGCTCACTCCTCCAAGGCACCTCCCACTTCGCAAACTTTTGGAGGCCCGTGTTTCCTCTGCTCCCGATTTGTATTGTTTAAAATGACGTTGAGTTTGAATACTGTTTCTCAACTGAATTTTCTCTCCGATATCTCAAGAAAACCATGGTCGTTTATCAGTCAATTAATTGCACTAAGCATGTCAACTTATAGAATTCTTTAGCATTACTTCCTCCACGAATGAAACAGAGTAAAACACATAATGTTTAATCTGCTTTATCCTGTATATGTAGTGTATATTTAAGGTATAGGAAACAGTAAAAAAAAAAAGTATACACCTTCTCTTATCATGAGAAATCCATAATACTCAGGTTATGTGCCTCTTAATGAATTCTCATTTTATCCTTAGACCGATGTCTAGTTTTTAAAATCAGCTTTTATCGTCCGAGAATTTCAAAATTTTGGCGCACCTTGTCACGTGCTATAGCCGGGTATAATCATTGAGTTGTCGGTCCTGATCTCTCCGACAGAGCATCCTTAAGAGTCCATGTCTGACTGCGGTATCCTTAACACAAAACAGTAGACAATTAAAAAACGCCTGGGCACTATCTCCTACACTCTGAATGTGCATAAGCACCATGTCCACGGGATATAATTTGTTCACCATTTCCACACCATTCGCGACTCTATATATAAGTATACCGTATCTGGCTGTCCCCCAGATTCTAAGGATATAAAGAACGAGCCACAGCAGCACATAGTTCTCGTCTTCATCACGGAGACTGATTGAGATATGACTGTAGCGAAGGTTGGGTCTGCGCTCTTGACGACGCTGTAAATATTAGGAAGAGTTCAATTCGTGTGTGGAAAAAAACATACTTTAAAAAAATCAACAGAAACTTTACTTATTTAACAGTGAAATACAAAATCTTCCTACATGTATATCATGGTAGATGCAAGACATACATGTATATAGTGAGCAATTTACAGTTTCAGGCTTCCACCTACCTTTTTAATCATGTAGTATTTGAGATAAATGTAGAGGAATGCTGTGATAATGTAGGTCATGACCTCCCAACCTTTTCCGGTTAAGGTCATCCACAGAATAAGTTCACTGTTGTTCATACAACCCTTTATCCAGCACCACGGTCCACTACCAATGTATTGATCCTCCCCAAGGACATTCTTAAAGGCCGCTACCAATGTAATCACCACTGAAATATTGTAATAAAAAATTCTAAATGATTGGTTCATGAAAATGTATTCATGAAATATTGTAAAATACATAATAATTGGTCAATGAAAATGCAATCAACAGTTATATATATTTTAAGAGATCAAATGATTGGTCAGTGTTATTGTAATCACCACTGAAATATTGTAATGTAACAAATGATAAGTCGATGTAAATGTAATCACCACTGAAATATTTTAATGTAACAAATAATTGATGTCATGATTAATGTAAATATAAATCACCATTGAAATACCGGGTATCGTAAACTATCAAGTTATTGGTCGATGTAAATGTGATACTCAGTAATCATTGAAATACTGAAAAGTATCGGAGGTCAATGTAAATGAAATCATCAGTGAAATATCGTAAAACAACAAACAAAACAAATTGTCGATGTAAATGCAATCATTACTGAACTATTCTAGAGATTTCTCTAGGATGACTATCAGACAGAATTTGTAACCTTGAAGTCAGCAATCGTCAAATAGATGAGCAGACGGCGGGTCTGGTTCTTTGCTTCTTGAACTGTACAGTATGTCACAAATATAATAATTGCTCCTAAGATCGACAGAGAACAACTTACGTAGGTACAAATAAGCACCGAGCTGGGTAAATACACGACCTTTATATTGTTCTGGGAGATTGTGGTATAAACTGGTGTGGTTAAGTCCATGGTAGTACATTCAGAGTTCGTCATTGCTGTGGTAGAAAATCCTGAAGTCGACATGACTAGATCACTCGTATTTAAATCAAATTACCAGCATTAAGGTTTAGTATTTTACTTCCACTCCGAATACTTCTTTTCCGCCTTATGAACATGGGAATTTGAAATTCATTTCCTAATTTTTTTTTTTACTTTTTCTATACAACCCTTTATTTTTATTACATAATTCCAAAGGGTTCGTTTCCTTCCTTAATATAAGGAAGTAATAGCGGGGGTCAGAGTACTTCAGACGCACAAAGCGATATTTACATACCCCTTCACCTTTATTAACATAAAAACAATAGCCGATTCTAAAATATGTTTGTCTCGCTCAACCAGACACCAGGCTGTCTCCGTAAATCGTCGACGAGAAGGGTCTTGTGAAGAATCACGTTAGTGTTTGATATCCTAAGAGGGCCACTAGATTTAAAGAAAAATAACAAATGTTATGTCATTTCTTTCTTCTGTAGATTTGTGACTTTTCATGAATAAATTGAGCTTCATTTGGGGATAACAAACGAGCATTTTCAATATAAATCCAAGAAAAGTTCACCGGTAGGCTACATTCTACTCTAAATCCATTCATTACTTTCAAATGAAAGTACAATCAACAACAAACACACCATTTGGACATAGCAACGACACGCAGTAGCTTTATTTTTGCAGTGTACATAACATATGCAAAATATGAAAATCAATTTGTATATACAAGTTTATGTTGGATTGAATAAATCATGATAAAATTTTAAACTTTATCGTGCTCTACGTGTCGTCCTAAACTGGTATTTAAACCACTATTCACCTCTTATATAGCCTTGCTAACGAGACCGGTTCTAAAGAACCACGTGATATACACCAGGTATTCGAATGAAAACCTTGTAATTCCGAAAAAGTAATTTATTATCACACCGAGTAGAAATTGATTTCTGTCTAATTCGTTCCTCAAACGAAAGAAATCATATTTTCCTTCACTTTTGCTTTCGAAATTTTTGATGACACTATGGAACACACTTACATATAACCGGAGGACAATACCGTAAACAATGCCTCTCCAACTGCTAATAGTATAACTTTTAGACATTAGTTAAAGTTTAAAGCTGTAAGATTTCTTTCTGCCATGGTATTTTGTATTTGTTTTAATTGTGTGTGTGTGGGGGGGGGGGGGCTTCCTTTCAGCCAATCAAAATCTTTACTAGAATTTTTCCGTTTCAAATGCTATCACGGATCTTTACCAGACTCTCTGCTGGTTAATGCTTTTTAAAATTTATGGAGACAGCCGAACGTCTGATTGAACGACACTAGAAATATGTAAATCACATGGCATGTTTAACTACTTGGCCGTAACACTTCACCGTACATGTACACGTTACTATTTGTGACATGCTATGCAAAAAATTTCGACAAGTACTAGTATTTTTAGCTAATCTGAGCCGAAGGCGCTTACGTCTGTAAACTTTTTTTTTTCTTCATCATTTATTTCCCAGACCTATAACAGTCAACAGCTGATAAGTAGGGCAGCTGCCAGGGATGGGGCCCTGACTAAGCTCCCTCTATAACAATAGATAATAATAGTCCCTACAGCACCACGCAGGGTGCTTTATTATTTAAATACAAAGTCACACTTAATTTTACATCTAATACATATTGTAAATCAAATAATATAAGTATATATAAATATGGAATCAGTTTTGGTGAAAATGTGACAATAAAATGTAAATATATAACTATGAAAAGATCATTGTATTATTATATAAATCTGTACTTAGGAAAACAGGTAACAGTTAATCAAAGTCTGTAAGCATATTTAATGTTAATTTTAAATTTCTGTTGAAGTTACTCTTATCATTTCTTAAGAGTTGAAAGTTTGATTTCATTTCTTTCTTGAAATCATTCAAAAGTGCTGAATTTGTAATATTTTTATTTTCATACTTAATGCTGTTTCTTGTTTACCATATTGACCACTTGTATATATAAATCAAGGTGTTAATACAAATTCGAACATTTTTGGGTTCTCCTGCGAATCCCAATAAAACAATACATACATCAATTTTGACTGGATTTACTACGAGATTTTTAACATTATATTTTGTACCATTTCTAAAGGTGGTTTGATATGTTTACATTCATAAAATAGATGTTTCTGACTCTCAATATTTGATTTACAGAAAAAAACATTTACCATTTGATAAACCCATTTTGCTTAATTTTTCTTCAGTGTATAAGATGTTATGCAAACATTACCATTGAAATTCTTGAATCTTTTGTTTTAAACCAACTTCATAAATTGAGCCCCAAATCTTTTTCCATGTAATTTCAATTTGCATCAATTGCTCCCATTTTTGTTGGGATTTTGGAGTGATATTTTTGTTTAATACTCTTTGTATATCTTTGAGTTTTATATCTTCGAAATTTATGAACTTGTTTGTTTTTCTTACAAATAAAAAATTATCAAACATCACAAAAAAAATTATTTATTTCATTATCTATTCTATTTACAGTATTTCTCCCTTCTAGAATGTCTGTAAACTTTTCACATTTTCGACTTCTTCTTAAGAACCACAGGACCAATTTTGACCAAACTTGGTATAAAGCATCCTTGGATGAAGGGGAATTTAAATTGTTAAAATGAAGAGCCAAGTCCCCTCACAAGGGGGATAATCAAGAAAAGACAAAACTAGGGTGGGGTCATTAAAAAATCTTCTCAAGAACCACTGGGCCAGTAAAGCTGAAACTTATGTGGAATCATCCTGGGGAAGTGTAAATTCTAAATTGTTCAAATCATGGCCCCCTGGGGTAGGGCGGGCCATAATGGGGAATCAAAGTTTTAGATAGAAATATATCTAATAGGAAAAATCTTGAAAATCTTCTTCTCAAGAACCACTGGGCCAGAAACGCTGAAACTTATATGGATATGGAAGAATTCTGAGGTAGTGTAGATTCTAAATTGTTTGAATCATGACCCCCGGGGGTAGGGCGGGGCTGCAATGGGGAATCCAAGTTTTACCTAGAAATATAAAGGGAAAATCTTTGAAAATCTTCTTCTCAAGAACCACTGGACTGGTAAAGCTGAAACTTATGTGAAAGCATCCTGGGGTAGTGTAGATTCTAAATTGTTCGAATCATGACCCCCGCGGGTAGGGCCGGGCCACAATGGGGAATCAAAGTTTTACCTAGAAATACATAGGAAAAATCTTGAAAATCTTCTTCTTAAGAACCACTGGGCCAGAAAAGCTTAAAATTATATGGTAGAATTCTGAGGTAGTGTAGATTCTAAATTGTTTGAATCATGACCCCCGGGGGTAGGGCGGGGCCACAATGGGGAATCAAAGTTTTACCTAGAAATATATAGGAAAAATCTTGAAAATCTTCTTCTCAAGAACCACTGGGCCAGAAAAGCTTAAAATTATATGGAAGAATTCTGAGGTAGTGTAGATTCTAAATTGTTTGAATCATGACCCCCGGGGGTAGGGCGGGGCCACAATGGGGAATCAAAGTTTTACCTAGAAATATATAGGGAAAATCTTTGAAAATCTTCTTCTCAAGAACCACTGGGCCAGAAAAGCTGAAACTTATATGGAAAAATTCTGGTGTAGTGTAGATTCTAAATTGTTTGAATCATGACCCCCGGGGGTAGGGCGGGGCCACAATTTGGAATCAAAGTTTTACCTAGAAATATATAGGGAAAATCTTTGAAAATCTTCTTCTCAAGAACCACTGGGCCAGAAAAGCTGAAACTTATATGGAAAAATTCTGGTGTAGTGTAGATTCTAAATTGTTTGAATCATGACCCCCCGGGGGTAGGGCGGGGCCACAATTTGGAATCAAAGTTTTACCTAGAAATATATAGAAAAAATCTTTGAAAATCTTTTTCTCAAGAACCACTGGGCGAGAAAAACTGAAACTTATATGGAAGCATCCTGGGGTAGTGTAGATTCTAAATTGTTAAAATCATGATCCCTAGGGGTTAGGCGGGTCCAAAATAGGGAATCAACGTTTTACCTAGAAATATATAGGGAAAATCTTTGAAAATCTTCTTCTCAAGAACCACTGGGCTAGTAAAGCTGAAACTTATGTTGAAGCATCCTTGGGGTAGTGTAGATTCTAAATTGTTCAAATCATGACCCCCGTGTTGGGCGGGGCACAATGGGGAATCAAAGTTTTAAATAGAAATATATAGGAAATTCTTTGAAAATCTTCTCAAGAACCACTGGGCAAGAAAAGCTGAAACTTATGTGGAAGCATCCTGGGATAGTGTAGATTTCAAATTGTCTAAATTATGATCAGTGGGGTAGGGTGGGGTCACAATATGTATTATATGGGGAAATCTGGTAAAGAACAGAAAGGTCAAAGTTTCTTAGGTGAGCGATGTGGCCCATGGGCCTCTTGTTTAAGTTCTGTTAATATGTTTTTCGGTTTAGATTATGATGTACTTTATTAGACATTATATATATGTAAGGTTGTTGTTTTACAATATCTGAATTTCGATGATCTACCTCTGCGCCACGTCGGCGACAATTTGATTATAAATATTATAGAAATAATAGATTTCTAAACTTTCTATGATGTTTATAACTCTACCTTTCTGCAATCCTTCTTAATAATCTGCACAATATTTGTCAAATTAAATCACATTATTGTGAAAGTTTGGATAAAAATTAAAATTTGTGTGGTTAGTAATATATAAGTAAATATTAATTAAGGAAACTTCCTCAATGATAAAACAGAGAGAGAAGGGGGAGTCTGAATCGTCCAGGTTTTTTTTTCCAAATTTATTAGGTATGTATTAAATCTAATCGATGAAATGTAAATCTTACGAAGAAACAATGTTATCATACAGGGATGATAACGATACTAGGTATGAAATTAGAGGTAAAACATGTCAACCGTGTTAATATTTAATGGGGGATATTTAGAGGAACCAGGGATCCAGAAGAATGACACCATTAATTATGTCCCCTTTCTGATTCTGACAGGTGTGAGTAGTTCCTTGTCGTTATTGGGGTCCGTCTTCATATTTCTCAGTTACTATAGAAACAATGAAAGGAGCTTCAATTTTCGTCTGCTGGTGTTCCTAACAATTGCAGACTTCTTCAACGCTTTTGGGAACCTGCTCGGAGTTATTCGGTATTCTTTTGTTGATGCGATGCTCACTAATGACGACAAATGTGATTCAGATAATCTTTGTGTCAGTCAGAGTTTTATTACCGTCTT